AGAGGCGTTTTGCGCACTGCATCAGCGTGAAGAGTAGATGATAACCGAGATGCGTTCCCTGCAAGGCGGCACGTCGCGAGACACCGTGCGTGGTCCCGAGCCTTGAACACCGGATCGCGGGATGTGGAGGAGAGGAGATGAGGTGGTTCATGCGTATGCAATTCTCGAGAGAAGTGGTTCAATTCTATCTAGCAGTCGTTTAATGAAGTACTGACTTGGGCTCAGCGACGAGATCTTTCTGACTCTCGCTGTCGCTGATACGCGAGCTTTGTTCGAAATGCTGCTCGAAATGTCGCGAAACGTAGATGCTCTTGCCATACATGCCTCCTTCTTCAGACGTCGTCTGATATGGCGTCGTGCTGCCTGGTCTGCCCAATTCATAATCATCGTCGATGCGTCTTGCTGTGCTTCTGACACCAATTTGTTTTGTGCTGGCTCCAGTTCCTGTGCCATTTCCATATGCTGCTCTGCTGGCGTTGAGCGATGAGGAGAAGCCGGGAACGATCTTGACGACCAGTGGCTTGAGCGCGGGGAGCGATGCGCAGACGATAGCGAGGTTCATCTCGATTGCGGACCAGTAGGCTGTCGGTGCACTGTAGTAAGTGTTGTCGTCGGGATGTGCGACCAGGACAACGAGAGCGTGGAGGCGGAGGATCGATACGACACAGACAAACCAACCGATAGTGAGGATGGTCAGAAGAGCAATCTTTTGGCGCATGGCGATTTGCAAGGTCCAGATGACGCGAACGGGAAGGAAGGCGACGAGGAGATCGGTTACGATGTTGATGCTGGCGTTCACATACCAAATCCTATGATCTAATGAGCATTGCGCGTCGTAAGGCTGAGCACTTTGGTAATACTCACGTCTTGTTGTCGATACACTTCGAAGTCGGCTGCTCCAGGATCTTCCAGTAGGCGTGGATTGGGACGCATGTGAAGATTGAAGTGATGATCGTAGATACACCCCAAAGAACGCACACGGCCATGACGATGTGGAGTGGAATGCGCATCTCGCGCACAGTAAAGATTCGGCCGTACTGCAAGAGAATGGACACTTTGGTGAACATAAGACTAGCGTTGTAGCAAATGATACTCCAGAACAAGTACTGGGATACATTAGCTTGGAAATATGCAGAAGGTATGATTCCTCACCTTCAAGATGATTTCAACTCCGGCCGGAAACTCGATCAGTGCGGCGTGCTTGCCGTTTCCAGCATTCGCCTGCATAATCTGAAGTATACCGGTGGCAATGGAGAGAGCCATGGAGACTACGATGGTGTAGTCTTCCCATCCTAATGCTCGCCCTAGGTATCGAAGCCGAGTGAAGAGACGTAGGCCAACGCAAATCACCGCTATGCATGTAAAAGCAACGACGATAGACTTGGTGAGTGGACCTCGATCGTCCTTGGCCAAGGCAGCCGACTGTTCGGGTGTTAAGGGATCCATAGCTGTTGTGAAGAGGAACAGACGATGCTACACGTAGCTTGTCGATATGTCGGACGGGCGTAGTGGAGTTACCAAGTCACACCTTTACATATGTATTCGCAGTACCCCGTGCGTGGAAGAGTACATGTGTCAGGCACTGCGCCCAGAGGTACCTGCACTGCAAGCTGCACGGACTAGGGTGACAGTTCACAAAAAACCGGGAGACTATGTCGTTTGAGGAGGCATCCGAAACTCAAAAATGATGGATAAACGAGACCCTGCTAGCAGTTGTAGGGAAGATCTGGGGGGATGGTGTGCCTAACGGAAGAGCTAGACTTAGCAGACGGCAAGAAGTTGGCTTAGCCAATGAGACTATGCACTCGTCCCTGCACACGTAAATACTCTAAATTCGAGGGGTACATTTCCGTAGCGGACCGTCGTAATGAGCAAGACCTGATCATGCGGCATACGAACTCACTTGCATTATGCAGTCCATGCGTTTGCCATGGTGGATGGCGATCTTTGCCGCTAACTGAATGTCTTCCAAACCACGAAGTCGTCCCTCGGTTCACCGAGTACAAATCATGCAAGTGCTTTGACGAACGAGCTTTCGCGTGGCGCAGTCTGTATTACGCAGAGAATTGCCTGGGCTGAACACACAACGTTCGTTGCTGGGCGGGCCAAGTCTGAACGGAAGCGCTTTCACCATGGGGTGAGAGCTTGGCACAAAATCGTTTGTGCGAACATGTTGCAGTTGTTTCTTGTATCATTAGGTAGAATTGGTATTCCCTGATCGTATCTTGGTCATGTCTTTGGCGAACCTCTTAGCCTTCCATGAACATGATGTGCTCACATGCTGTGGGTAGGACGGTGCGGGAGAGAATCTGACTAGGGTACCGTTCGAAGATGGTGGCGTCGTGTAAGAGAGCCACCAAATACCGGCTAATTTGGGTGGTGTAATCTGCCCGTAGTCCTAGTGTGACACTAGAGCAGTCGATAGCGAGTCCCGGTGCTCGGAAGTATCCCTGTGGATCGGATTCCAAACTCTATCATCTTTAGCTGCCTTACCGCCTACCAGCGTGCTGTGCTCAGGTCCGCCGTTCAAGAAAGGCCCTGCGAATAACTGAGCAGACGTATACAAGGAGTAACGCTGGTCTTCCGGGCCGCCTTTGTCCGTGACTCCGTTGCATTCCAGAGCCTCGATTGAGATAGACTGCGGTTATAATGATGAAGGCGCCACGCCACGACTCTGGCATGTCCGGATTCATCTCAACAGGCGCGGAAGGCCTCGCAGATGTGGTCGCCTCCTTGTGCATTGCCATCTCGCCTGACACATGCCTGTTTGGTACATTGCTGAGTCTTGCTACCGATCAGCCATCACACAACACCGCAGATGAATGTCATTCTGACATCCCAAGCAATGCAGTGTGTGTCGTTCGCGTGAAAAAGGATCTCTGAAGGATCGTTGGTGAGGTAACGTCCGTTTCAAGCTCGAGTACTGCCTCAGGAACGACAATCCCGTGCAGATATTGTGCTTGTAGCGGCATAACGCGGGGTGCGACAGGAATCCTACAGCTGAGGTGCGCCCGGACAGGGTCGGTTAGAAGGTTTGCGCTACGTCAGCGTTGCAGCAAGACGAAAACAGGGACCATGCGACACAAGCGGGTTCGTGAGTTGCTTTCGCAATACGAGTAAAGTCTCGTAGACGTGCGTCATGATCTTGCGATGTAGAGTGCGTGCAAGCAGGTGGATGCCTCGCAAGGTGAAGGTAACGGGACCTCGGAAGCATCCCATGAAACGTGATCTCAGCCGGAACGGGTCGATAGCGCCAAAGTTCCCCTTGGAACACTAATCCAGTTCGAGACCGCAGCACTGATTCCGTGAGAGCTGACTTCGAAAACCGTCCATGCATGACTCCAGGATGTGTCTTTACTAGCCACGCGGATCTTCGAACCTCCTCAACGATGTAAACTTAGCGTGCGTATCTCTACTGCAACGCGAACCGCGTCGTGGCACGTATGTCGATCGCTGTTCTTGTCCCACAGTACCGCGCCTCTGGCACCTTCACGTTCCAATAGCTTTAGTATGTATAGTCCAGGGTCTTCCTAGATCCTGCACGAAGATGCGTTCGCCGTTGGATCGACGGCATGGCATCTTCGCGATTGACAATCTAAGGAAGCGAAAATGGCGTAAGGCGCCCCGCATTGAGCTGACCAGAGCGAACAGTCCAAGCACAAGCCAACGTCTTCTGAGCAGTCTCGAAGCTTCAGTCCAACGATCGTCGGCCCCTGATCTGAAGTCACTGGTCACCACTTAGAGAGTCACACACCTTCGAACCAACATATCACTTCGCATTGACATACCAGTTCATATCTGCCAGAACTTTAAGTTCTTGATGTCAACTGCATTCCGCCATTTCGGTTTCCACGCGTTTGACAATGCTGTGAAGAAGCACAAATCTACTACATACTGACCGTGCCACTCGAATCACGTTGCTGAGAGGACATGTGAAGCGCGAACTGGCGCGGTAGGTGCTGCATGATACCCTCTTGGATGCCAACATCATAGCTAATCATCCGGGAATAACGACTAACACACTTGCCATGGACTCAAGGCGGTCTACGAACGCCAGGAGAATGGCCTCAGCCTTCAGCTCGGTATCTAAACTCTAGAGGCGGGCTACCCAACATTCAAGGCTCTTATGTGCTGGCTAGTTTGACGCCTCGCAACCCATTCACCATTATCTGAACTCCAAGAATAAGCTACGCATGTCGCTTGTCGGATGAGCCTCCGCCGGCATACGATGTACGCTGAGATGGACGATCTTTCGACGACAATCCACGTTTGTATGGACTGCACGCATCTGTGCTGCCTACAAAATCTAATCACAGCCATACGACCAGCATAGAACTGTGTGATTACTATACGTGTGTGCAGTTTCGGGCTCACTAAGGTAACATAGCTGTAAATGGCACCGTGAGCTCGACATCATGAAAAGCGCAGCCATACCAATACCGAGAAAGGTTTTCGAAGGTCCTCGCGGTTGACATGTAAAAGACTCTTGGGACTTACGACTTTTATCTTTAACGAGTGAATTCTATCACCTATACATTGAACATACAATAAAAAGAACTGACTTACATAATATCTCTAGTAGACATCAATCTAAGTTTCGATCACCTGGGCTGCCCGTTGGATAGCGCCTTGGCGCAAGTCGCTCTTCCCTTCCGCGTTGAGTCTCGCCAACCTTCCACCACAATTTGTACATCGGCATGCAAAGACGCATGCCCGATTATTTCACTGCACAATTCTGGACCATGGCAACGTCATTCCTCAGATGGTGCATCGCAAGCCGCACAGTGCACGCAGACTGCAACAGATGGGCGTTTAGTTCACGCCGCTTACACGCTCACATTCGCTAAACACCAACTATAATACCATCTCATACAAGGAGAAAGCCAATCAAGCCTGCAGCCGACATCAAGGTGAGAACATGCAAAGTAGACAATATAACGTCAACGTAGGCTCCGCGATATTCGATGTCTTCCTTGAACAAGCTGATACGACAGGAAGACTCACTGAATGGCGCCCGCCATATCTTCCTTCCGCCGCGCTACCAATCTTTTCCAGGTTTCGAAGACCCTCAACTTCAAGGAAAGATTCTCGGAGAACGAGATCAACTCTTTCTCACGACGCTCGAACCCAAGCCAATCAATTCCACGGAGGCCAATGAGAGGTTTATCCAATGATGACAACAAGACTCTTACCAGGTAGTCTACCTGTTCCTGTTCCAAAGACGCATCCCTGATTTCGAGACCAAGCTTCAGGTAACCTCGTCCAGGGCGCCTACGATGCTGCTGGGGTACTCTCGTACCAGCTCCCGATTGGACCGTTGGTGTTAGGAGAATATGGCGTTTGTTTGGTAGCAAAGACCACATCTTAGAGCTTGTGCCTGGTCGTCTCATCTCAACGCACTGATGAAGGTCCTGAGTCGAAAACGCCGAGTCTCCGTTATGTTCGTGGAGCTCTTTCAAACCGTCAATCAATATGCGCGTGAACGACTCAGGGCCAGGAGGCATCAAATCACAGCTGTTTATCAACTGAAAACACCTCGCAGTCCCTTGGTCCCTGTAGTTGGAGCTGCTTTCGTCGTTGGACACACGACGTATGTTGCCATTACTCGCATACTCTGTGTCCAGTATCGCAAGAACGTCTCCGTCAATTTCATCCGAACAGAGGTAGTCTTCCGTTTTGTACCAGTTTATCTGACCACCACTGGAAGTGCCGCGGGCCGTTGATGATTCCAAGGACGGTAAGAACTCCAGTCGACCGGCATTCTTGTAGTGGGCGGAATGGCCCGTATAGAACACGATCAACAAATTACCAGGGTGATCGTACGTTTCGACGAACGTGGTCAAAACTCGATCCATCTGATGTTGTGGTTTGCTTCGGTGGTTGAGTTCAACAACGTCAGTCTTGAAATGAAAGCGTTCCCGAAAGACACGTTCGAGCTCCTCTACCTGTGGTGATGTCAGAGCTACAGTGTTTGTCTCTTTCAAAAGTCCTGAACACTCGTGCAAGAACTCTCGACGGTACTGGAATTCAACTTGAATCTGATATCACTTACTTCGTCGCCGGTTCGCAACTCGTCCAACTCATCCGACCATTTCAATAGCAACACTGCAACGTTTGCATAGCCTGTGGGTGTTCCCATGTTCCTGGCGATCGCTTCAGCCCACCAGTCCTTCATCGCCACTGAATGCTCTTGCGCCCTGTCGCTTGCAGACTGTTTCAGCTTCGAGTTACTTCCTTCTGGGCCAGAGAGCGTTGTTTCAAAGGCGTCCGAAGCGCTTCTTTTGCGTGAACTATCAAGTACCAGCTTTCGCTCAATCTCCGATTCAAGGCGATCAAATGCATTTATTTTGCCTTCTCCGTATATAGGTGGCATGTGTATGTCGAAGAGGCCAAGTATAGAGTAAATTGCGTCCTCTTCCCGTTTGGTTTCCCGCCCAGCTGCCCAGGACATGCGCTCTGCTATACTGAAATCTGAGAGACGCAGCGGGGAAGTCTCCAAAGCTCGAGAAGAAATAGCTGTAGCGTGACGGATGGCCTGCGACAGTGTTTGCTTGTTACCTAGGCGTTCACCATCAACGGTGAAGAATTCAACGGAAGATGGAGCAAGTAGTTCCTGTAGCGTCCAGCCTCTGGTGAACCATTTGCTCTTCTGGAACGCAGTTTTCCAAGGCGATCGAGGCGGAGCTGCCACATCGGAAAGATAGACGTAACATCGGGCTGATTGTTGATACCATGAGAACATGGAGTTTATCGCTTTCGAGAGTTCTACGCTATCTTTCTTATCGATGCAGCACGTATCCACCTGACAAGAATTAGCCGATGCGCGAAGCAAGAAGAACATCCTCAGATTACCCAAAAATATTCCAGTCCATCATTGTCAGCTTGGTTGGCACAAAAGTGTAATTTGGCATAGCCTTGCTTTTCTTTACCTCGGCCTTTCATGATGTCTTTGAACGACACTTCATCGTTATCAGAACCCCAGGTATGTGACAGTATCGCGTAGGGCGGCAGCTGTCTGTCGTCATAGTCGGCAATGCTGAAATCGCCGTTGGTCTCACGCCGTAGAAGGTGCATGTTGTAAAAGCAGTGGAAGGAAGCTGATCAAGTCGACATCAGAGGTGGTCGCAATGGAAATTCGCAGATAGTGCGCTGACAGCAGCGAAGGAACGAAAGATAACATGATCAAGTCAGCAGTGGCGTGGCTTTTCCGTTGGGGGGTCGAGGTGCATCCTTCTGAAAGACATGGGTTGGCGTCGCGCGAAGCTGAAGTGGGGCGGGACAGATTGGCAGGGTCTACAACGGCGCTTTGCGTTCCTCGAAAGATCGAACACTCTGGGAGCTAGACCTTGACAGCAAGAATGGACGGTGACCGCCCCATGAGCCTTGCAAATCTAAGATCTCTTTTCAATGACGCAGAGCTGAGCTGTGTTACTACCTAGGTACCACCATGCGGCCATCTGCCGGCATGATGAGCCCACCCTATTCGGGGGACATATCGAACGCCCGCCCTTAGAGGACACAACCAAAGCCAATCGTCCAAGACTCTACATTGCGTTAGGATTCTGCTAATATCCGCTTTCCATGCTAATGTAGGCTGCACGGCGCCTGTCTCGTGTGTTTGTTGAACAGGGTGAGCTATACGCAATCTCGAGTAAGCCGGCTGTGTCCCCAAGACGCACATCTCAGCCTTCCTAGTCTTGTCAGCCATGAACTCATGGATCTGACTTCTATCTCCTTCCCGCGCACGACTGATATTCGGACTGACCGAGTGAACTCGGCTACTGCTCCGAAAGCATACCATGGCGGATCCTCTCAGCATCGCAGGTTCCGCAGTAGGCATCACTGCAGCTGGGATACAAGCCTCCGTAAAGCTGTACGCACTCGCCGAAAAGGTTGCGACGGCCAGCCAGCGAGTCACAAGTATCGCGGACGACATTAGCAGCACATGCGCCATTCTCAACCAAGTGCGCGAACTCATCATACCTCAGCCTGATGCGCAAGGCACGCTGAAATCGGTCTTCAACTCCGTCGCTCTCAACGACATCTCGCATGCTCTTCGCCGCTGCAGGTCTTCCTTTACGGAAATCGAGATTCTTCTGCGTCGCGCGTTCGAGCAAGTGGGGAAACGACCCGCCCTGCGCTCAAAGATTGAGCTCTCTCGGTTCGAAAAGGCAAAATGGCCGTTCTTGCAACCACAGTTCGACGAACTCCGCAACGATTTGCGAGATGCGAAAGGAAACCTTGTCTTGATGATTGCTGTGGCAAGTCTTGCTCTTGCACAGAGGGACGGACGACAACGACCGATCCATGAGACGGAGAGGCTAGAATTTACGTCTACGATTGTACAACTGCAACGAGCACGTCCCATCTCAGCGCATCACCGCGACACTTCTCAGGCCTCTCGAGATGGTCTTCAAGGTCGATCAAATGCGGCAATCGGGAGCTCAAACATCGAATTAGGCAACATAATGGGGTCAGGACCAAGTCGTAGCATATCCACGAGAAGCGTGCCCAAAAACGGGAGTGAGCACTCGGCGAATGCGGACCCGCTCATCCCAGAGCCAGTCGCTCTATCTGTATCAACTCACAGTGATAGAACGATTGGGCTCTCTCCTAATCAGGGTACCTCAACCGTTGCAGACAATTCTGGGCAGTCTGCCGATGACAATGTACCGAAAGAACGGACGGTATCAGATCAATCGAGCCCACGTACACAGACAACAGAAAGCGCTACAATTACACCGCCTCCCGAACGGAAGGATCCAGTTCTAGCCCCGAATGCGTCCACGTCAGAACTGAGCACCTCATTCAAGACTAGAGCATCAATGAGCCACCCGCCGCCGCCACCGCCGCCGCCACCACCTCCTCCTAACTATTCTCCTCCTAATCGTCCTCCTCCTACGTATCCCCTTTCTGGTAGTTTCCCTCCTCATCATCCTTATGGCCCTCCACCCACATCATCAACAACTTGGCTGCCTCCTGTATCTGCTACAATTCATCCAGTAAGACCCAGCTGCTACGCTGGATGGACAACCAAGCATCTCCAAGGCCTCACAGTGGGGCGTGGGCTCCCTTTATCGTTGAAACCTATTGAGTTACCCGACAAGTCTTTTCAGAAGCTCGTCAAAACATACACCGATGAGGGTCATGATGCACATATCGCGATGTTGGAGCTTACCATAGAGCAGCAAGCGCTGATCAAAATCACATTCCCTCCTCGTCATACTGTGGAGGTGGTTTATGTTCGTGTGCAGCATACTGCCACTGTTTCCAGTGTATTTGGCATGTTAAATGTTGAGACGTTGAGATGGATCATCGCCTCCAAGACGCCTTTCTTTCCACTCTCCGGTGGACCAGCACCGCCACCACCACCACCAGGTCAATCTGCTCCTCCTAGGCCTCAGCAGCAACAAATGCAGCCCCGGCAACGCATGCCTCCGCTGAACCAGATGCCGGTCCAGCAAAGCCCACTCTCTCAATCTCTACTACATAGCCATGGTCGAGAGCCGACCATCCTGCACCCCGACCACTTGCGGCACCTAATAATACGCCCTAGAGTACGCTCTGGAGTACGCCGAGACGCCCCCGACGAGTCTAGTGATTCTGAGAGCTGGTCTGATGGCAGTGGAAGAGACACTGAGCCGGAACCTTATCATAGAAGGGTAAATTCTGCCTCGGCGAGCATTCCAGCAACACGCCACCGGTACGACGATGAAGAAGCCCCTTCACAGCCTGCGCAAGAGAACGAGGAGGACATTGTGAACGAGCTGCTCGCTCGATGGACGACCTCGTGATCCAAACTCTTCCTTTCACTTTATTCCAAAGCAGGAGAAATACATATAAGCCAGGCGCCGACATCAACTGCAAGTAACCCCAAACTCATTGTTATAAACACATGTAGACATTAAACCATATTTCAGAGTACTATCGTTTTCTCTACTCCCACATATCAATACACACTTTTCTCCATATCTCGCGGGTGACGCAAATGCATTGAAACGCCGTTAGATTGCCATGGTATCTCGAACCCTTTACAGTACATGATGCAGCCCCGCCATATTGCGCCAACAAATGCGTTTTGAGAGAGCTTCGAAAGCGGAAAAAATGAAGAAGAGAATCCGCACGACATGATCATTCATCTAACCCACGACATCGATGTCGCCATCAGCATCAAAATCCTCTTCACCCTCGGCATCGACGTCGCCATCCGCATCCACATCATCTGCGCCCCTCAACGCAAGCGGTAACTGGCCCCTCACATTTTCGAACTCGCGTGCCGCCATATCCGCCTCAGCCATGAGTCCGTTTCTTCTATAAGTATTCATACAAAGACCCGCAACGACAGCAACCCACAGCGGCCTATGCACCTTGACCGCCTGCGACCTCGCCGCACGAATAGCCTGGATACTCTTCTCGCCGACGGTCTCAGCGAAGAAACGCGCAACAAAGTAACACATCATCATAGCGACGAACTCGAAGTTCTGCGTTCGCTTTGACACATCCTGGGCCATGCCTACGGCGGCTTGAACAGTTTTCTTCTGTTGCAGGATGGGCGCGTCTTCGCTGTGAAATGCTTGTGCGAGGCGGAAGGCGATGCGGACGTATTGATTGGGGTGGTCGTCGCAAAGGGGTTTGATCTGAGCTAGAAGGAGGGCTGCTTCGAAGTGTTGGGGATGCGAGACATCGCGGAGGATGAGGAGGCGGTTCAGGGCTGCCATGATTGCGATATCTGTCTTGGCGGGGGTTGCGTGGGCCTTCTCCGGTATGGCGAGGACGTCCGAGGACAATGCTGCTAGTGAGGAGTTGTGGGATCCGTTTATCTGATCGGTGATGGCAGAGAAGTAGGCGAGTGTACGAGCGAATGCTTCCTGTTTGTTGTATGGGGTCGTCGAGATCTTCTTCTTGAGGAAACCCAACGCGTCGTCGGCTGTTGCATGATCGTTCCGAGTACGGGCCATGAGTCCGATGGCGAACATGGAATACCAGTCGAGTACCATGTTCCACTCAATACGTGCAAAGGCGATCGATATAGGTACACCACTGTAAACGCGTCGCTTCGCAGTCTCTCGGAAGCGCTGATGTGCTTCCTTCATGAAGTTCAAGCCCTTCTCATGAACATGTTGGTCGAGCGCGCAGATATGAAAGCACAACGCTTGAAGATCCTCCTTGGGAAGCCATGCAAACACGAGTTCGTCCTTTTGCTCCGCGTTCTTTCGGAAGATCCCGGCAGTATCGAACGTCAGGTGACCCCCAAAGCTCCGCTCAATAAGAACAGTGAAGACACCGATTTGGGAGTTTCCCTGTTCGGTCTTGTCGCCTAGTATGGATTCGAGAAGCGCAGTAGACTTTTGCGGGTTGGGACTGCCTTTTTGGATGCCGCTAGCGATGTCAATGATGTCGATCAGAGTGCCGAATGACCCTAGCTGTTTGGCTGACACCTGAAGCTGCAGGCTTCTAGCTGCTGCGATGGCGCGTTGGGCTTGTTCAAGCCGGTCTGTTGCACCAGAACGCAGATGAACCATGGCTTCGAGTACGTGACAAGCCACGTAGATGGCTCGATCACCCCGCCGGTCCGCGTGGTCTTGTATGGCGTGCAGTTGCTGTAGAGCCAGTGCCACTTCAACACGACCGGGTATCTGCAGTGCGAGCGTGACTTTGAGAAAACGCAGCGCGTATACCCATGCGACGTGTTGGAAGGTCTCCGCCTCCTTTATAGGCTGGTCGAGTGACTTCAGGCCGGCGCGGTGGTTGGTCTTGAACTGATATCGTGCTTGAAGATGGAGGGCGGCAAATTTGAGGTCTTGCAGGCGATGGCGTCCACAGAGTGATATCTGCTTGGACAGAATCTCCTCGATCCGACTGGAGATGTCCGCGGCCTCGATGTCTGTCTCCTCAATCATCAAGCTGGCGTACCTCAAACGCAGCTTGGCTTCATCCCTAGGCGGCATGTTGAAGTCCTTCAGCACAGTATCCATGCACCCCATGGCAGTGGACATTAACTTATAGTATTGTCGGACATCGACCTCCCTTCTCTCCCGTATTAGCAGCGATCCCATGCCTCGCGCGACTGCGATGTATTCGTCTGCAGCCATGAGCAATAGTTCGGAGAGCTCGGCAGGAAGGGCCTTCTGAGGAGGATGGGCGCGCTTCGTAGGTGTGAGCTGATGCAAAGAGGAGGCCTTCGGTATGACGACTTGGGGATGCGTTCGTGGTTTAGATGAGGGCGGCTGAGGGAATGGGCTGCCATACTGGCTCGACGGCGTTCGAGACTGTGGGGGTACGCGCTGTTGGGGCGTCGATTGAGGGGGTCGCTGTTGCTGAGGGATAGATTGTGGGGGTCGCGGTTGTTGAGGGGTAGATTGAGAGGGCCTACGCTGTTCTTGAAGCGTAGGTTGTGAGGGCATACGCTGCAGCTGGGGCGTTGGCTGAGAGGGTCGCTGTTGCTGAAGAGTCGACTGTGGGGGTCGCTGTTGTTGGGGCGTGGATTGCGAAGATCGCTGCTGTTGAGAGGGCGACTGTGAGGGCATATACTGCTGTTGCGGCGTCGACTGCGAAGGTACCCGTTGTTGCTGAGGCGTCGTCTGCGGTTGCAGAGGTGCTCGAGGTTGGGCTTGAGTGTGCGATGGGGTGATGACGGGTCGCTGCTGCGGCCTGGGTCCATTCTCTTGGAATGAGGGAGATCGCTGCACTGGCTTGGAACTGGGCGTGCTGGGTGCCTGTTGCGCGCTATACCGCCGCTGTTGGTCGCCAGAGCCATCTGTTTGCACTGTGCCTGTGCTGCTTGTTCGCTGGACCGGTACCTGGACATGCCGGATCCTCGGGGGCTGCATCTGCGGCAAGGGTGCATATTGCTGTGTCCTCGGGGGGATGACAACTTGAGGCTGCCGTTGGTACTGCGGTTGCTGTGGTGGCTGCATCTGAGGAGGCATTGGCGCATATTGCTGGCTCATGGGTCGGGGCATGCTGGGCTGTGGCGGCAGTTGATACTGCTGTGGCTGTGACTGAGGATATCCCTGCGGCGCCTGCATTTGCATGGGAGGGTACTGAGGGTAGCCATGCTGCTGGTAGACATTTGGCTGCTGTTGCTGCTGCTGTTGTTGCGGAGGCGGCGCATACGGATTGTACTGGCCGTTCGGATAGCCCTGGGGCTGCCAGCTGTATCGCGGATCCATGGCGGAGGACACTCAGGAGGAGGAGGAGGAGGGTCACCGGCAGTCGAGGTATAAGCGTTGCATCGTGGGCGAAAGCGGGGTGTGGATGTGAGGACGTGTAATGGGCAGTCGCGAACTTGGGCAATCGCGAACGCGCCAGCGCCGTTGAGCACCCATTGGCCGACAGACGCGCGCTTGCTGCACCAACACATGCAGCCTAGTCGTAGCCAGACCGAGGCCCGATTCTTTCTACTTCACGTATCTACTTCTAGATAAGACTTTCACCTTCTCTTTGTCAAGATCAATTCGAGCAGGGCGCATTCTTGGTAACTAGATCAGGAGGGTTAACAACTGAGATCAGCAATTCATCGCAGTGAGTGGTGAATTCGTGAAAGAGCTAGGAACAGGACCGAAGGCGTGTAATAGTGCTGAGGTGGAATTTTAATCCGTGGTATCTCCAGACCTCGTACAAATTTGCGGCGCCTTCCCAAGCTCAGGTCGGACAACACTCCAACCAAACCCATGATGTCTTGGCTCCTGGGTCACAGTAAAACGACCTACACCTCCCATGCCTCGCCAACACCCCTCCAGACCAAGACTGGCTCAAAAACAAACCTGAAAGAGATCGCCGAGTCCTCAATCCCACCATGTCGACTGAACCCCTTCCTCTTCAACGGCCACCTCCAAACCATGTACACAGCCGTCAAAGACCCAGGCCCGCAAATCTACTACAAGCGCCAAATCTTCGACTCTGACCACTCCGTCTACCCCGGCACCTTTGCCGTAGACTTTGTAGTTACAAGAGAAGAAGGACTCGCAGCAGGCGAGCGAATGGCCTCAGACAAAGACACCACCGAGCTTCCCGAAAGAACCGCGAACTTCACACCCAAAGAATGGGAAGGGATAGGTAGTTCAGACAGCAAGCCCATGTTGATAGCCCTCCACGGTCTGACCGGCGGCTCCCACGAAGTCTACCTCCGCGAAACCCTCCAACCCCTGCTCACATCCACATTCCAACCCTGGGCCGCATGTGTCGTGAACGGCCGCGGCTGCGCCTTATCCAAGATCTCAACGCCCCAACTTTTCAACTCACGCGCTACATGGGACCTACGTCAGACCATCAAGACGCTACATGCCCTCTTCCCCAACCGCCCTCTCTATGCCATAGGCTTCAGTCTAGGCGCCAACATTCTGACAAACTACTGCGGCGAAGAAGGCGCTTCGTGTACTCTCAAAGCCGCGGTGTCTTGTTCGAACCCGTGGAACCTGGAAGTGTGCAACACGACGCTCCAATCTACTTACCTAGGCCTGCACATCTACTCCCGCACCATGGGCAAAAATCTCATGGGTCTCTTCCACCGCCACCGCGAGCAGATACTGAAGAACCCTGGTATCGATGAGACAGCTCTACTGGCAAGCAGATACCTCCATGAATTCGACAGACATGTCCAGTGTCCTACATGGGGTTACCCGACCGAAGGCGCGTATTACAGAGATTCCCAATCCGTAGATGCGGTGTTGGCCATCCGCATCCCCTTTCTAGGGATCAATGCAGAAGACGACCCTATAAGCAATAAAGCGGGACTCCCGGTTCAGGAGATCTTGCAAAATCCGAATACTTTGCTGTGTACGACGGATTGGGGAGGTCATTTGGGGTCTTTCCAGTTGGGCGGCGGACGGTGGTTTGCGAGCGCTGCGGCGGCGTTTTTGGAGAAGATGTTTGAGGAAGTGGAGTTTGAGGCTACGAGGGGGGTGGATGAGGGGAAGGATGTGAATATGGGGGGACTGGAGGGGAAGAAGTATCCTATTTTTGATCCGAATCATCGTAGGTTGATATTGCCCGATGCGTAGATGGTTGGATTGTATATTTGTTTGGGTATCATAGACTTTTAGATATCGTAGATCTTGTATAGACCTTTTCCCTTGCACGAGACAAGAGGCTCTCTCTTCTGCCATGCCCCGATATCTGCGCGTGGATCGTGCGATCTCTATCGATGCAGACCTGCTCCGCATCTACACAGTATGTTCTCGCGCGCTGCAAAGTATGCCCGCCTTCTGCGTATATACCTCTCGATCAGATTGAACTCACACCACACAAATTTTTCCTTCAACCAAAGCTGACCCTCTTCCTCTGCTTGAACTTGCGATCCTTCTCCTTGATCCTATCGCCTTCATCCTTGTTCCCACCAGCACCAGGCTCACTATGCCTCTTCCTCTTCTTCTTGAGATCCTGTTTCCTCTCCTCAAACGCAGCGTCTTTGTCTGATTTCCTCGCCTCGGCTTCTTTCCTCTTCGCTTCGCGTATCTCTTCTAGCTGGCGAGATTTGGCGATCTTGGACTCGAGGTGGCCTTCCTTCTCGGCGTTGACTACCGACATGATTGCCATCTGGACGACGTTAGTATCAGGTTGGAGAGAGGACTGGGGAATTGGGTGGTAGAGGGGGATTGGCATACCATACTAGCCGGATCATCAACAAACTTCTTGCCCTTCTTCACACCCTTTGGTTTCGCAATGCCAGCAGGTATAATGCCATTCAGCGCCGGGATATCCAGTTCCTTCTCAGTATACACGCGCTTCTTCTTCCTGCCATCCCTGGAAACAACACTCTTCGTCTTTTGCTGGCCACCCGGTTTAGCCAAGGACATGGACTTTTGCTTGCGCTTCGATATGCCCTCTGGCGCGCTACCCGTCGGTTTCGCAGATTTCGCTTTCGGTTTATTGGCGCCGGATTTCGCAGGGCCGGATTTTCCTTTCGAGGAGGTCTTGCCCTTGGCGGAGGGTTTGGAGAGACCCATTTTAGCGAGGATGCGGGTGCGTGGGTGAAGTTGGCGCAAAAGTTGGTGTTGGTGGTAAAGAAGTCTGGAACTTTTCGTCGGCGGTTGGCGAGCTGCAGATGCCGACCGACGCACCAGCACGTAAGTGCCAAGGGCAGGGCGCGACCGAGTGGACCGCAACCTCGACTGGCGCAACCGCAACGCCAGCTGCTAGCTAGCTCCTTGCATCACACCGCGCAGCTCGACGACTGCCCGCCCACAACCCTACATTGCCAGCATACACCGAGTCGCATACGCATACGCACGGCATGATGGAGGACTCAAATCGCCTCTTCCGCTTCCCCAAGCCCGCATGGATGAACAGCGCCAACACGCGGACTGCCGGCGTCTACATCGCGGGAGCCTTGGTGCGCGCCTCTCCCAACCCACACCTACACACTCACTAACAATGCCTCCTAGTTCGCCATGGGCTTCTACACCCTCATCGACATCTCGGTATGGTCCAAGTCGGCCATGAACGGCTCCGACCCATCCGTCCACATCACCTTCATCGACTGGATCCCCGGCATCTGCAGCGCCCTCGGCATGCTCGTCATCAACAGCATCGACAAGTCGCGTCTGTCTGCCGACAGCTTCTCCTACTCTGGGAACGGCGTGGCATGGAAGGCGAGGCTGGTGTTGTTCTTGGGCTTTGCGCTGTTGGCTGGTGGACTTGCGGGCAGTGTTGTGGTTATGGTTATGAAGTTTGTCGTTATTGGACATACTTGGCCAACTCTCTGGCTGGGCGTTGGAAACGTCGTTGCTAATGCGCTTATTATGCTGAGGTGAGTAAGACATGTGAAGTGTTCGAGATGCCTGCTAATGTTGTGTAGTTCCGCTGTGCTCTGGGTCGCGCAGAACATGGAAGACGAATACACCTACAACCTGGCGTTGTAGGTTACTGGTGGACTGAAGGCCGTGATTGAGAATGGGCATTGCGCATTCCGTATCCGGAGGTGCGCAAGGAATGGATATAATTATGTACGAGTATTTGAAGGGTCGGAGACTGTTTGTCATAGGCAGTTTGTTGTTTCATGCCAGTCATTCAGCGATTTCGGGTTAACAGGTTCCAATACGGACAACTTAAGTCATCCTATGCATTATGTTCGATATACTTGTACAAAAACGCTCAGCAAACTATGGGTACAACATAAACATGGGGCAGCACCGATCCGAATCTTCCGGCTGTCAGCATTCGCTTTCAACGCCCTCAACATTTCTCCAGTGGTCGCGCTGGACCAGATTGTGTGTGTGCGGTTCCTCATTGCTGAGTCCCGCCGGCGAGTCAGAAGTCTTCTTGCTCCTGGAAGAACAGGGTGAAGCTGATGATGGTCGCGTATATCAGAAGACCGCCGAAGATGGACATGGCCGCTGCGCCGCCCGCGATCTCTGCCGAGTGCCATAGTAGTGTCGGGAGGGCTGTCAACGTGTTAGCAATCTGCCAAGGTGTCTCCGGCATCGTCCCTGTGCCACCCAGGTGTACTCACCAATACCCATGACCACAAAGAAGCCCGTCAGAAACCTTCCAAAGTCGACGACACCATTTCCGGTACTTTCCATAAAGTCATCGCGGTTTGCTGCACGGCCGCAGAGCCAGTTGGGCAGGGGCGCGATAACGTAGGTTGCGACGACGAGAAGCGTGAGGTAGTTCTTGAAGAGCGCGGCGGAGAGAATGACAAGGAGGAAGCCGATCGCTAGGACCTAGTAGAAAGATGTTAGCAAATGCATGGTGGACTGGCGAGCGCGCGTGCATGCGACAGGCTGACGTACAAAGGACAGCCCTATGATGGTCTTGATGCCGGCCATGGTGGATTCGTAGAGGGGTGCACGTGACGATTGTGTGTTGGAGGAGTATGCGCCGACGTCTCCTTGGTTTGATCCTCGGTCCGGCGAAGATGCGAGGTTGCTGTGATGGGGGTCTGGCTGGTAGACGCCTGGTGGTGAGGTTGCGTCGCACGCGCTAATGCCCTTGCCAAGCTTGGAGCTTCTGGAGCTCATCGTCGTCAACGGCGGGAGCCTCCAGCTGCAACACCACACTCTCTCTCGATACTCGTCCAGGCCACAGCCCACACAACCACGGTTCTCCCGAGGTCGTCACCAAGCTGCAGCACCACCGTATAAAACCCTGCGTCTCGACTTCCACCTTTTAACCCTCACCAACCCACCTCATACCCCACAGTCTCCGCCTTCACCATGTTCCGCAATAATTACGACAACGATTCCGTCACCTTCTCACCACAAGGTCGCATCTTCCAGGTGGAGTATGCACAAGAAGCCGTGAAGCAGGGTTCTGTCGTCGTAGGAATCGTGAGCAAGACACACGCGGTGCTCGCTGCAGTCAAGGTGATCACTTACGCTCTCTCAACTATCCGAATAGTTTCTAACTATCTACCAGAGAAACGCTGAGGAGCTATCCTCATACCAGAAAAAGATCATCCCTGTCGATGCTCATTTCGGTGTCGCGCTCGCGGGTCTGGCTTCTGACGCTCGTGTCCTCACGAACTTCATGAAACAGCAGGCACTCGCATCACGCCTTACGTACGACCGCGCCATCCCTCTGTCCGAGATCACCTCCCGGATTGCCGACCGCGCACAAACAAATACCCAACAGTACGGACGGAGACCATACGGTGTGGGACTGTTGATTGCCGGTGTTGACGCAAAGGGCCCGCATCTTTTCGAATTTCAGCCTAGCGGTGTAACTCAAGAGATGGTTGCATGCGGTATCGGTGCTAGGAGTCAAATGGCGAGGACATACCTCGAGAGGCATCTGGACGACTTCGAGGGCGCTAGCAGGGAGGAGTTGATCAAGCACGCACTGAGGGCACTGAAGGAGTCGCTGTCGCAGGACAAGGAGCTGACTGTGGACAACACCAGTGTCGGCATCAGCGGTATCGGCGAGGACTTTGTACACCACGAGGGCCAGGACATTGCAGAGTGGCTGGACGCTACCTTTGAGAACAAAGAAGGCGATGACAATGCCGAGGGTGGGGAGGCTATGGAGTTGTAGAGAAGCGTACGGTCTGCAAGACCCAGTATAGCCGCTTGACGAGAGATTGTAGATCATGATGTAGCCGCCTGGCTACGGAAATATAATGAACACGATTATGAATTCATGTATGTGTTTGGAGTGTCTCAAGGATACCGTGGAGGTACTCAGTGTCTTTTATGTATGCCTTTGATCCTGTAGAATATTATGTATCCTCAAGGTACAGTTTACCCAAAACGCTTGTCCGTGTACCTGATATGTGCACGTGATCTGCAGCTCCGAGCCGCATGCGCGAAATCTCGCCGGAGCTCAGCAACTTCAACACCTGCACCCGCAACCCAAACCCCGTCCACACCCACGAACCCGCATCCTACCATCACAATGGCATTCGCGTGGAAAGCCGCCGGTCTCACGTACGCCCGCCCACCTCTGCAGCCGCTGCAGCCCCAGACTTGGACCCGCCATTGACTGTTGAACAGCTACAACCGCTACATTGCCGTCGCATCGCGCGTCGTGCGCCGCTCGCTCAAGGAGGACAAGCGCATCGCTGCCGAGCGAAGGGGCGAGAGCGAACTCCGCTTCGCCAAGTGGGAGGTGAGTGCATACACTTGGGATGGGATGGGATGGGATGAGGAAGTTGGGCTGGGCTAATGAATGGGCAGAACGGCAAGCAGGGCGAGATGAAGGACCTCAACGCTGCGGCGCTCCAGGCACAGGCCGATGCCACCAAGACCTCGTAAAGCAATTGAGAGAAAGGACATGGCATAGACACGATTGAGTGGCATGAACAACTGAGGAGAGATGACGCTAGGGAAGGATAGACGTATATTCTGTACTATCAAGCTGGAGCCGAATCAAAGCCAATGCACACCAACAATTGAGCCGACATTCACTCTCTCCAGTAATATCATGCGCTTGTGAAGTCGAAGTGATATCACGGTTGTGACTACCAGTAATGTTGCCGCTTGCCTCGGACGCGCGCCTGTCCTACTCGGCTGTCACAAATCTTCCCGCATCGGCAACGACTCCACCACAACATGGCAGATGCGTCTAGCAGCCACAGCACAGCCCCCACCCCAGATCATGACACAGGATTAGCCGTTGATGGGGCTGGTAATTGTTTCTTTAATTTTGCGTAGAGCAGTTGATGCTGATGATGCGCAGGCCCCTCACATGCGCAAGAGTCTGCGCCTACCATCTCGGCCTCAACTTCCGCTAATTTACCCTTGAGACAATCAAGACATCCTGTCGCTGGGACGCAGCCAAAGATTCATGATGTGACGGAGAAGTTTACGAGAGCTTGCAGTGGTGAGTTGCGACCTCAGGTACATGGAGGGGCATGGCGGGGCTACCTCGTCATGTCGTACTACGGTGGTTGTGACGATATGTCCAGGCAACATGGACTGACAACACTTAGCTCTCGAAGTCGGTCAACTCGTCAAAGATGAATACTTTACGCTGTTTGAGTCCATCGGGGCCATCGAAGTAGGCTGCTCTCATTGCTAGAATCATGATTTTCGACTTACCTGCAACAGATCATGGATCCCAAGATGGACAGCGGCTTCCTTCAACCCGGAGAAACCCTAGAAGACGACTATGACACTCTGGCACCCCTTCTACCCGAGGAGCTAATAGGCATCATGGACCAACTACTCTGCTACGAAATGGCCTGGCATACCGGCTACCCGTTATCCCAAACCCTCTTCACGTCCTTGTACATCGATAAGCTGCTCTGGCCCGAGACTAAGATCCTGGAGCACGCTCAATTCTACCGTGGAGAGATTCTGCATGAAAGACGGCCTGGACCGTTGCTGGAAGTACTGAGAGCGTATTGCCTGGCGTTGATTAAGGGATGCGACTTTGTGATTGCGAAGATTACCGGGCGGGACTACTTTGAAGAGGAGGACTTTTGCACGCATACGTATAATCGGGTGCTGTTTGTTAGTGTGCCGATGGATGTGTTTTTGAGGGAGTTGGATGCTGCGATGGAGACGATTGAGGAGTATGCTTCACCACGGACTGCACAGTCGAGGGCCTGCTAACACTTCGTAGTCCCGACTTCGAGATCAATGATGCGCTTCGGAAGGCTATCAGCTCACGGTTAGAGCTCCGGAAAGACTTCCTTCGCGCCCTTGACTTGGATCTACCGCTCGACCAAATATCCTATTCATGGCCACCAATCCTCCAGGGTATCGACTCGCTGAAGAATACGCATCAGCTCGGGAAGACTGTGCCTGGTGCTTTCAGTCCGAAAATGCAACGCCGTCTCGCATCCACAGTTCCCCCACGGCCAGTGGTAGAACTCGACTTCAAGGATGCGTTGGAGAAGCTACACCAGATAGCCACCGACTGCGCAGAAGCCACCCGCTTCCCCGCTCTGCCCCAGGACCCCCTCGAATACCAATCCTTCCTGTGGCACTTCTCTGCTCGCTCACCCCCGCCACTAACATACGCCCGCTCGTACCTTGCAACTTTACTCTTCCATCCCGACGTTCTCAACGCCTCCGTTTCCCTCCCTCTCGTCGATGTAAAGACACTCGTGCTTCCGTCTTCACCCGTCATAGACCCTATCAACTGGACACTATCGCCACCACGCAATGCTCTGATGCCCAAACCCCCACGCCTCCAGTTCGCAATGCTCATCGACGAATTCGTAGACCGCGCCGGCCAAGCATACCTCGATCTCTGGGTCGCCATGGGCCAGAACCGTTGTCGACTGAGACGCATGTTGACGCACGTCATCACAGGCTGGGACCTTCTACAAGCCGACGCAAGCTCAATTGACATGGACATCTCCTCCGCGGCCGCCACTCTTGGTCAGAGTACCCAAGTCATGGAGTTCTCTCTTTCTACCTGGGTCTATCACAAGAAACTCTGGATGATAGAGAAAGTGATCTTACTCGGTTTCGAACAGGATATCTACCTGCCTGATGAGTACGCGGGCATGTACCTCTTCCTCTCTCTGATCGCTACACGACGGAAAGAGTTGCTGAAGAGGGTAGAAGCACACTATCTGACTATCTCCGCTGAGTTCCTGAAATCGCGACGGTTTAGAGAGGTCCAAGACGTGGAAGAAGCGTCACCCTTTCTGGACTCCCTGCTCGCCGAGACAGAGGGAACGGCATCGTTGGCCTTGGCTCTCGCGCGCTTCTACGTTATTTGCGCCTACCTAGGTAAATTACCCATGCCCCGCCGAACTCCCTTTTCCACAGAGAAGCTCCGGTATGAACTCAGGATGAAACCTTTCCTTGCCTTACAACCACCCGAAGCGCCGCCTTTTGACGACTTCAAAGCGCATAGCCAACCTTATGGACCGGTTCCATCTTCTTCTGAAGCCCCGCCTGAGGCTTTTGTTCAGGACGTTGTAGATAAGGACTCGCAGCTTTGGCACGAAGTCGATGATCGTATCAAGGCGGCGAAAGCAGCGTTTGCTGAATACAAGAGGTTAGGTGTGGGAACGGCGAAGGCGGAGGGTGTGAAGGCGAGTTGGGAGGACGAGGTTAAGAGGATGGTGGCGAGTTGTGTGAGTCTTGGGTTGGCGGTTAAGGAGATTAAGGATTGCGTGGTTGGAGAGGGTGGGATTAAGGAGGAGGAGAAGGGTGATTTGTGTGGAGGGTTCAAAATGGAAATTCCAGAGGCGGGGACGGGGAAGAGGTATGCTGAGGGGTGGATTGTGGGGAAGGTTGTTAAGTTGTGATCTGGAGTGAGAGGATCAGTTATAGCTGGAGCTGCAAGTTGAGGGATGTGTTAGCATAGACCTGAAGTGACGAAGAACAAATTCAAACTTACAAGAGGTAAGAATTGTCATGTTCGCAGCAACATTCATCACGTCGTAACGGTGGTCTTGCCCCAGGATACGTACTAGCGTCGTAGGTTCCACCAACGAAGGTCGGCGAGCTGGACTCAGGTCCACCAGTGCCGAAGCATGCACTTATCATTCAATTTACAGAAACCGCGAAGGAACTCGCTATAATACACGAGAGGACCGTGCTCGCCCATCTTCTCCCACTAGGAGTGCTGCTTGTGAGAAAGGGTGCAAAGGTTGATGCGGGCCTGACGATAACTCGCTATCCAGTGGACGGCACATGTCCTCTGGGATAAGGAAACTTGTGTCGTGCAACATGGAAACCAACTTTGGAAGTTCGAAATACCCAGCAATGGTCTGTACGAGTATTGCGGACTTTAAAAGCGCAAGTCAGCAACCAGCAAGCTCTTAATCTAGTGTATCCGATGCCTACATCGTTCCAGACACGCATCCACCACCATCGTTCTAGCTCCTGTGCACCCGGTAACATTTTATGTTCCCGAGTCTACAAGCGCAAAAACGATCTCGTTATTTACCTGCCCAGGTAGTATAGTCTATCAAGACGCCTACATCGTTCCGTCTACTCGCTCGACACTGCGGATCGGACTTCTGTATACTTTTAGCAAGTCCTCAATCGTAGCAGTACCGACATAAGATGTGCTTGTCCCATATCTCAACCAGCGTATCATGATGTCTACATCAACTTATTCTGTCCCTCGTATACGTCCCTCACCTGCGCCTGCGAAGATGACTCTAGTTCAGACTCCAATTCCGGCTACTGGAGCCTTGATGTCTACACCAGTCGAGTCCACCTTGGACTTTACATACCAAGGCCTAGCTCACCGAGATCGTTGGGCTCGAGTTGTCGAAGAAGCTATACGCCGCCGGCAAGATCAAACTGGACGACAACGAGACTGCGACGCAGCCTCAAGTTCTTCTCGACGGCGGTGTGTGGCTCCTACCTTCTCAAGTCACACTACTCACTGCGGCAGTGTCGTAAATTGCTACACCTGCACCTACGCCTGCGACGGTGACTCCATTTCAGACTCCCAGAGCCTCGACGTCTAGAGCAGTCGAGTCCAAGGCATAGACTCAAGCTATGGCTTCGCGTCCAGTTCCCGACCGACGTGTCGCCACACTACATCCCCAGTTCCGCAACCCGCCTACACTCCGTCGTCAAGTTCCCGACAAGCGAGCTCACAACGCATATTGAGTTGGACCAATTGATACATCCACTTCATTTCGCAATGCTCAAGTTGGACCAATGCCCACCCCTCTAGTACCTACTCTTCGAGTAATACGAGACAAGTTACAGCAGCAGTGGGGCAGCATTGTAGAAGAGATTGGCACGGTCACCTGCAGGCGAAAGAAGATGTAAAAAGCTAACAACATACTAGTTAAACGGGTTGCTAAGCTCGAAAATGAGTGCGGTACTACCTACGACAGTCGCGGCCGGTTTGAGAAGCAAGTTGAACGCTTGACAAACGGAGGCGGCTAGTTACACTTACAAATCACTATGTCTTCGGGTTCCCGGCCACCGTGATGCTGAGAGCTCAATGCCCCTCAAGATCATAATGCAAAGAGGTGTTTACTTCTTACGTGCTCGAATCCAGTAGTTAGTTTATCAAACATGTCACTTCCAGGAGACTACAAAGGCGCCAACGCACTTGCATGAATGGTAAACGAGATAGTTAAGGCATCACAATACTCTCAGCTCGTAATCTACAAAGCCAGAGAAGATCCCAAGGCACGCGCGCGGTCACCTTGACTACCCGAATGAGACTCACGGTGAGTTCAAAATCCACGCTAAAACGCGCCTGCCTGTTGAACGACCTGACGCGCTCTCAGCTCTGCTCCCTCACCCACTACCACTTCGAGATTTGTTTCGGCTTTAAGCTCTCAGCATTCTCCCACCGCTTTAGAGCCCCGCAATATCTCATCTCATTGTGTACAAGCAAGAGAAGTTCAACACTGCCGCAGTCGCCGCAATCAAAGCCCACGATGCGCATTCTCAAGTAGTGCCTGAGCAGGCAAATCTCAACTACAACGACAGGACTGTCATTGGAAATGGCCTTGGCCGATTTGACGTGTGTTCACTCGTACTGTCTCACAGCGGGGCATGTTACTCACGCTTCTCTCGTTCACCCTCTGGAGCGGACTACCGCACGCCTGGATCATCGAATGCTTCCGACACGAGCTCGCCAGAATCCTCATTGAGCGCAAGTTCATCCAATTGGACCCTCATCCAGTAAAGCAGCCTCCGGCCCCCAAGTCGTCCAACTTCGATCTCAAAGTAGCGGAAGCAGCTGGCTTCCACAGAGCCATGAACCTCTGGAACGAAACATGCGGCTTTGGTCCTCTCCTTATGTCCCCAGGAGTGAAGGGAGCGTTGTCTGCGCATGCCTCAATTTTAGGTGGCTTACTACGCAACTGCCAGGTATACATCAACGAGCCAAGCTCCTTCCCCAGCAAGTTCAAGGATCAGAGCGCAGAGAGCGGCAACCCATATCGGCTTGTGAGGGCACATGACGAAGCAGAGAATGAGGCACTGACCTTTAGTTACTACGACGTGTACATGGAGATGGTCTGCTAGCACCACTCCAACCCGTCTTCTAGTTCCTCAGTATATCAAGAAGTTCATGTCCTTGAAGCTCACGGTGGGAAGAAAGACATGTTTCTTATGAGAATGTAGCAGCAATTTTCCAATACAAGACAATCAATTATCACTTGCCTTCCATTGCACCTGCACTAGTTACCCGGGTATCACGAACACCAAAACAAAGCCTCCAAAACGCCTCCACAGTTGACCGGCCAGTCGACAAAATCCAGTCTAATGACAGCATGCCATCTGTCGAAATCTCATCTTCCACAAGCAGTGTATCCACCCGCAGGCGCCACGCCCATACCCTCAAGCCCACTACGCTCAACCCTTGTACTTCCTCAACACATCCTCGCTGACCCTCTTGACGCTCTTGGCGGACATGCTCCGCTCGCCCCGTTGTTTGCTCTTGATGCTCGCTTCGTTGACGAGTCTGCGGGTATTGTTAGCCTAAGTCCTCTCCTTTTGTTCAATGCTTTCATGTGCGTATATCGCCTGCGCGAATGCGTTTCCTTGCTCTGTACCCTTTTCGAATGCCCAATCTTCGTCGCACCGTGTCGTGATGTGAATCGAAGGTAGCGCATCGCATCGCGTCGTATCGTGGAGTGTATGACATCGTAGGTACATACTCTTGCATGAACAGCGCATAGTTCAGGTATATCTGTGTGATATGTCAGTCCTGAATCTCCTCCTCATCGCATCAACGTACCAGTATATCCACATTCTTGCTCAATGGCCTGTTGGAATGCGCCTTGACTATCTTCTTGACAGTGCTGCGGGGATAGAGGGTCGGCGCCATGATATGCGTTTGTTGTTTGCGACAATGATGCGATGGATTGAGGGTTAATGTATGGGAAGGTTTGAGAGTGGGTACGATGTGCGGGGTCTTGTTGGTAGAGCACGGGATGGATGCGTGGTTGGACGTGTCTGTTGACGTGGATGCGTGTAGGCGGGTCTGTGCGTCAACGCGCTGGCACGTGGGAGGCTTGATGCTGAACGCCACACTCATGAACAGGCCTTGGACAGGGGCTATGAATTGGTTAGAAACCTAATACTTGTCTCATAGGAAGACATCACATCTTCGGGTCAACTGAAATGAGTCTGAACAAAAGAATTCTCATACGAGATGCATCTATCAGGGACTATCACAAGATAATGTTACACAAACGAGATTCTCCATCTACTGCGCTACATAATCACTGTATTTACACCTTCAGGCCGAGATCCGCAGCGTAGGGTAGTACGAAAAGGTCACCGACGGATGATACTGAGGCGTTGTTCTCAAGTAGTTCCTTCGCAGCCTGATGTATTCGTTAGTACTTATCACATGGAAATGAAGATTGCAAAGACTCACCTTCTTGACAGACTCTTCTGTTACACCGTCAATCTTCTGGGCAACCTCGTCGATCTGGTACGGTTGGGTGTTGTGGATCAGACCGTTACCAGTAAGCTCCAGACCGGCGCGGATGTCCTGGCCGTGCTCGAGCTCCTTGAACTTGGCGGCGGCCTTTGCCTTGGAGACCTCTTCGCTGGAGATCTCGCCGGAGGCAATCTTCTTGATGGCATCAACGGCGGCCTGGGCAGTTTGGGCGACGGCCTTGGCGGATCCGGTGATGGTGGTGTAGAGGAGACCGGCGTCGGAGTAGATGGCGCTGGTGGTCTTGACCTTGGCTCCCTGAGCAGCGGCCTGGCCGAGCTTGGTGAAGCCTTGCGACCACTTGACGGCAGACTCGCCTCCAAGGAGAGAGCTGAGGACGGCGATCTCGGGCTTGTAGAACTTGCCGGTGAAGGAGCTGGAGCCGGGGAAAGCAATGACCATGGCGTTGCCGCTGTCGTGGGCGATACGCTCCTCACCACCGTAGTACTTGGACTGGTCGGCACCGGTGTTGGACTCCTGGAGAGGGGCGCTGGGGACGTTCTCGAAGAACTCGCCAACCCACTTGGAGAACTCGCCGTGGTCGGCACCGTTGGCGACGACGGCGAAGTTGGGCTTCGCGTAGGCGATCTTGGAGTACCACTCAATGGTCTCGGCGTCGAGATACTTGGTGTAGGGCGTGGGCGCAGCAGAGGCGGTGGGGACACCGAGGCCGCGGTGGAAGGCGAGGCTGTGGACGGATTGGGTGGCCATGTCGGTGACGCTGGCGAGGAACTTCTTGTGGGCGAAGTGGATCATGGGGAGCACTTCCTCGGCGTAGACGTGGGCTGCACTGTGTCAATTCCATCATGCATGTCGGGATAGTGATTTTGCCTACGCTGGTACTTGGTGGAGCTGGCGACCTCGCCGAGCAGCTCGACGAAGTAGGGCAGGTCATCGCGGAGGAACTTGGCCTCGAGCACCAGGTTCTCGCGCGAGTGGTGGGCGTTGAGGCTGGCGCCCAGGAGCTCGGATTCGCGGACAATGCGCAGCGTTGACCGTCTGTCGGTGCCCTAGAGTTCCGGAGCGTCAGTCGAGCTCTCTATAGCATCTCTGCAGTCTCAATTCGTCGTACCCGGAAAGCGAAGTTGGCAAGGCCCTCGGTCAGGCCGGGCAGCGGCTGGAAGCGCGTGCCGGCCTTGGCCACCAAAGCGAGCGTCGTCGTGGGGCCGGCAAAGTCTCTGCTGGCGTACTTGACGCCCTTGGCCTCGCCGGACTGGTAGTTGAAGGAGCCTGAAGCTGGGGCAGCCAGGCCGCGGCGCTGGCAGCGGGCGACGGGCTGCTGGCGGGCTGCACGCTGCGCGCCCCGGCAGGCGGTCGTTCGGGAGAGCATCGTGTGGTAGGCGCCGGGCGGAGGGCTGGGTGGTGTGCGGGGGACGGCAATGGATGGAAGACGTCTGGTGGTGCGGCTGTCGAGATGCTCGTCACAAAGTTCGTAGGCCGCCAAGCCCCGTAAGTGCCATCGACCCGCCAGCCATTGGCCGGAGCTCGACTGGGAACGGTCACCCACCCCACCCGCTATCATTTTCTAGGTCGCTAAGACTGTCGCTGCTCAACCCTCGCTCTCTCTGCTCCAGCTCTATTGTCCCTGTGCGTCGCCAATGTCTCCCCGGTAGCATCACCCCACCCTAGATATCTGGCAAATATCTAGGCTCCATCATGTCTTACAACCAGCGAGAGACTCCGGTAAGATGCGCCGCCCATGCGCCTCGCCCATGTCACATGAATCCTAACCAAGCACTCTGCAGGTCCTTGCTGAACTCTGCACCTTCCTGGTCGAAGATGTCTACGGTGAACTCGCGGCAGTATGTCTTGTCGAAACCACTCTCTGCGCATCCTCGCGCTCGGCCGCAGCTTTGTTCTGCATTCAGGCATGCGACAGGCGCATTCAAGAACACGATTCTAACTACTCATAGCGCGTCTTCTCCATCCTCGCGCGCCACGGACGTCAGAGTCTCGCATCCATTGCACGTGTCTCCTACCTGAATGGGCGCCAAATCAAGTATGGCCTCGTCATTCTCCTCCAGCAGCATCTCATCTTCCACTCCGGCAGCGATGCGCCTTTGACCTACTACGAGATCGACTGGCAGAACTCGTACGCCATCGTCCGCTTCGGCAAAGTCGTCAAGCTCGTCCAAGACCGCTTCGGCAAAAAGGCCGCCAACGTCATATCCAACCTGCTCGCGCTCGGCCACACGCGCATCGCCGACTTGAAGGAAGCCTACTTCCCGCCCGAAAATGAAAGCGACGATGACTCAGACGACGGCGCGGCCAACGGAGTCGGTTCAAAGCGGAAACGGACCAACGGCGCTCATGTCAACGGAACAGCGAAGATGAACGGCGTCACGAACGGCATACCCTCGGAGTTGGACGACGCGAAACCAGACCCCACCGAACTCTCCAACGGCCACGGCAAGACCAACGGCGTCCACAAGCCCTCCAAGGTCGACAGTGTGACACACAATAGCGCTCCAGAAGAGCCCGGGCAAGAGCAGGATGACAGTGACATTACCTCCGTCGACGAGCTGTACGAGCTTATTCAGTTGCTGGTGGAGCGCGGCTGGGTCAGGACGGTCACCGAAACACAATACCTTTCTCCCGGTGATATGCACGACATGCTCTACCAGGAGTCCATCGAGCAGGAAAACGCAGGCGTCACACCCACAGGCACAAAAGACAAGGACAATGTCCACCGAGGAACCCTGCAACGTAAACGGGCGATGCGCGACGAGTGGCTGACGGTCCCAAAGTTCGCCCGAAACGGACAGACGAATGGTTCCAACAAGCGTGTCAAGATGAACGGTGCGAATGGCACAAGCAGCTGGGCAGCGCCATCATCCGACGATGACCTCGTTATTCGCGTTAACCCGGAGAAGATTGCGGTCGCCATGCGGACGGAGCAGCTGGTGAGCCTCGTACAACAACGTCTTGGGCCTATCACTGCGCGTGTCTACCAGACCATGTTGCGCATGCTCGAGTCCAAGACACCCCGCTGCTGGGAAGAGTGGCCTGATCCACCGCTACCTGCCGGGGAAGCTGGAGAGAACTCGATCGACCCTCGCTTCCTAGTAACCGCCCGCGATGTTGCCACGAAGCTCAGCCGTGAGCGCGATCTGGACATCTTCGAGGGCCTGGATCCGAACGCCGCGGCGCAAATGACTCGTAAAGGGCACATCAATCGAGCCACTATCTGGACACAGCCAGTTGACCCCGCAACCCTCAACATGGAAGACAGGACCAAGGTTGTGGACAAGCACATCCAGATGCTGGCCGAAGACCCCTTCCACTTTGTCACCTGGCACTCTCGCGCCGGATTCTCACAATGGCACATTGAGTTTGATGAGATTGCGCGGCAGATGATACAGACCGAAGTTGAGAGCACAATATCCGCAAGGAAGGGCTCCTTGGGCGTGAAGCTGGTTCGCGCGTTGAGGAAGAAGGGCAAGCTCGACGAGCGCGCCATGTGCAATGTCATGATGATGCCCGCTGCGGACGTTCGCGGCATAGTCAACGATCTTACCATCCAGGGCTTTGTCCAGACGCAGGAAATTCCCAAAGTCGATCGACGCGAAGCGAAACATTCCCTTCATCTTGTTTGGTACGACCGACAGCGCGCCCGTGAGAAGCTACTCCACGACACCTACAAGGGCATGGTCCGCATCCTCCAACGCATAGCCTACGAGCGAGAGAAGATTGAGTTTACCCTTACCAAAGCCGAGCGCTCTGACGTAGTTGGCAACGAAGAGAAGTGGTTGAGCACACGCGAGTTGGACGACCTTCGCAAATGGAAGGAGGTGCAAGAGAAGTTGTTGCTACAGTTGTTCCGCGAAGACGACCTCGTCGCTACACTAAGAGATTTCCACGGGCCGCTGGTCTCCGCTTAGACTAGCGGAATAATCATGGCCTGTCGTCACGCGGGAACGATGGATATGGCGTTTCATGGGGCATGCATAGGTCTGGTTCCGTCCAGCCATCAAAAGCATTCGGTACAAACGATACCCTTCGAGCATATGGGCGGCGTTATTTCTTGCATGGCATCAAGGTATCCTTTTTGTACCGGCTTACGCGATCTGAAAGAGATTTTTGCTAGTTGATCTTTGCTGTAGATCACGTTGTGTAGTATATACTTCAATGACTTCGGAAACATCATCGTATCCTGTGCCTCTGTATATGCTGGCAATGAGTATACCATACTGACGTAGCCTGAAGCGTTGGACATTACCTCGCCGACCTCGTCCGAGCGGGGGAAAGACTTCTCTCAAATGAATCAAGCTCAAGGGTAGCAAGAATGTATAGACGATGTCTTGAGTCGATACACGTTTATGGCGAAGACTGGTTCCGGCGCGTCCATGCCATGACATTGCGATGACCAATCGCCAACGAGCGCCCCGGAACTTCTAGGATCCATACCATACTGATACAAGTGTGATTCCTCAAATGACAAATATCGCCAGATCACCAATCTACAGTGAACGTTGATGCATGCCTAGAGGTGTGCCATAGTGCGTATGAGACAGCAGATAGTACCAGAAGGCTCCTTCTTCAGCACCACACGATCGTTCCTCTTCCTGCAAACAACGCATATATTTATAACGAAATTTGTATACGGGTGCATAATCTTAACATCCCACGCCATCAACGTGTGCTTCGTGTCATGTACATCGAGATGTGGCGAAGAAGGCCGGAGGCACTCACAATGGGCTTCTGCCAAAGTTATCCCTATCCAATCTCGTCGCAGTATATGGCACACGTAAACCTCGTTATTGGCATTCCACTCGCCTTAGAACCAGAAGAACAGGTATATGCTGCATGAACCGCCATTGATATGTCGATCCATCTATTGGAGTCTGCAAGCACTCTCAGGAGACACCATGTTGCCAGTTCGCGGAGTCTGTCATCGCCGAACTCTTCATGGCGAACATTGAGCTCAAAGTTGATCAAAAATTTGCTCACTCCAAGTCTCTGGACATCGCAAGCGCTCACTCGTGGGACGTCATATGACCCCTTGGTTGGCAGCGCGAGCAATATACATGCCGCAGCAGAATAGATTAATGTGGCCGAGGTGAACCGGGTAACAAAACCTTGTAAGGCAGCACTGAGCCCTGTCTTCATATACTGAACCGGGTTGCAGGTAGACGCCTCTTTGGGGCGCATCTGACGTCGCAACGTCAAACTTTGAAAACGACCACGTGCATTTTCATATCGCAATGGAAGTTGGGGAAGGATGTCTGGGAGGATGGCACGAAGGCAACGGGAGTCTTGTGTCGAAGCGCGCTAGTGGCCCAGAGGAACCGAGCTCCGCCTTCGCGCGACTGTGCCCAACCACATCACACATACATTCATGTCTACAGCTACGCTAAGTACCGTTGTGGCTGCAATGACCGACCACCATGAACGCGACAACGTTCCGATATGAAGTCAAGGCGATCTAGTACCTAGACGTCTCTAGCCAGCCCCAGTCCTGCGTTCGCTCTAGCAGACGACAAGTCATTCCAAGCCTCCACCCCACGAGCCACCGGTTGACAGACCTGGGACCCTGTTCGGCAACCGGAGTGCATTGCCTAGTACCCGTTGTAGTACCCCCGCAGCAATACACCTTCATCAAATGTGGAGGCGGGCCGAGTCATGAGCATGGACGTTCTTCGCGGGCTTCGAGAAGATCCGGGGGCGCAGGTACCACTTGGACATATCAAATGACCGAGCTTTGTCTGGAGAAGTCTTGAAACCTACCAGCGGCGGCATCACGGACATTCACACCGGCTGAAGTAATTTGGATATTGATGAAGACTTCATGATCGCCAGCACCGGGGTTGAGCTCCAGCATACAAATATGCGTGCTCGCCAGAGGTTTCATTCTTCACGCACTCCTTCTCACACTCTCTTCTCTAGCCACGATGCTATCTAAACTTCTCTTCACTGCTGCGCTCGCAGCTGGCGTGGCTCAGGCCCTGCCCCAAGCGACCAGCACTCGTGCTACCACAACGGCCGCTCCCGCAGCGACTGGCAACCCCTTCGCTGGCAAGGACTTCTACGCTAACCCGTACTACTCGTCCGAGGTCTACACCCAGGCCATGCCATCTCTTGCTGCATCTCTGAAGCCTGCTGCTTCCGCGGTAGCCAAGGTCGGCTCATTCGTATGGATGGACACGATGGCCAAGGTTCCTCTCATGGACACTTACCTGGCCGACATCAAGGCCAAGAACGCCGCAGGTGCGAAGCTGATGGGTACCTTTGTCGTCTACGACCTACCCGAGCGTGACTGCGCAGCCCTTGCCTCCAACGGCGAGCTCAAGATCGACGAGGGTGGCGTAGAAAAGTACAAGACCCAGTACATCGACAAGATTGCCGCCATCATCAAGAAGTACCCTGACGTCAAGATCAACCTTGCCATTGAGCCCGACTCCCTAGCCAACATGATCACCAACATGGGCGTGGCAAAGTGCTCGCGCGCTGCCCCCTACTACAAGGACCTCACTGCCTACGCTCTCAAGACCCTCAACTTCGCCAACGTCGACATGTACCTTGACGGAGGCCACGCTGGCTGGCTCGGCTGGGACGCCAACATTGGCCCAGCCGCAAAGCTCTACGCCGAGGTCTACAAGGCGGCTGGCTCGCCCCGTGCTGTCCGTGGTATTGTCACTAACGTTAGCAACTACAACGCATTCCGCATTGCTACCTGCCCATCCATCACCCAAGGAAGCAAGAACTGCGACGAGGAGCGCTACATCAACGCCTTCGCTCCCCTGCTCAAGGCCGAGGGCTTCCCAGCTCACTTCATCGTCGACACTGGCCGCAGCGGTAAGCAGCCTACTGGCCAGCAGGCTTGGGGAGATTGGTGCAACGTCAAGGGCGCTGGCTTCGGTATCCGTCCTACTACCAACACCGACAACGCGCTTGTCGATGCTTTTGTCTGGGTCAAGCCCGGTGGCGAGGTATTTAGCACATCTGTAGACGATTGAGGAGGCGAATGCTAACGAGAATCTAGTCTGACGGTACATCCGACCAATCTGCTGCCCGCTACGATGGCTTCTGCGGCAAGGACTCTGCGTTCAAGCCTGCGCCCGAGGCTGGTACTTGGTTCCAAGCGTACTTCGCGATGTTGCTCCAGAATGCCAGCCCCGCTCTTGCATAGAGTTTAGACGAGTAGGAGACACAGTACCTTGATCCAAGCTTTTGTCGGGTGGAGGATGTTAAGAGGATGCACTGTATATAGTCGCGACGGCATCTCGCTTTCTCCTGGATCACAAGAACTGTATATATCAATCCCATGTGTATATGAACCACTATTGATGTATGCGACGACTGTTTTTGAGTGATATGCGATGGGTGCAACGGTGATGCCGCCCACGTGGGGGCTGGACTCGGGAAGCCACAGGTCTTGGCAGGGCGAGCAATGGATCAGCCGTTGCGCGACCAGACCCTTGCGCCACACTTTCCTGACAGCCCGAGTACTACCACGCCCCGCCAAACCTTCTTTATCCTTGGACGTCCTGACCTACATCGTCCTTTGCCCGCATCGCTCTCTTCACACGTGCGATCGCCTGACGCTCGTTTCCCTCCCAGCGCACCCACTGCGCCCACCACCCACTCATGCGGCCCCGGTTCTATCGATAACGCAGCGGAGAGGGCAATGCAACGCCCCAAGCTTTCACCTTTGCAGTCGAGACTGCTCGCATACCTCGTCGCTAGTAGCGCCTGTATCGCACTATGGACGCCTTCGCTACCTCTTGTCCACGCCGCCGAAGTTCTTGCGACGCCCGATCACGACGCCTTTGACAGCCTCGCGCTGCACGCCTTCACCAGCGAAGATACGCCATCCATTGAAGATGGGGGGTACGATCGAGCAGAGAGCGATGGCTACGAGCCGGAGTTCAGCTATCTCGACCGGAGCCTGATTGGACGGCAGACAGAAGCGCCAGAATCGCTCACCAACAACGAGAAGACTGAAAAGGACATCGACCCGGAACAGACAATACACTTCGTGTTCGAGAAGGGTCAATTGCGCCTGAGGAGTGTGCTTGATGTTCCCTTGGATGCTCTGGAAGCACGGGGAGCAGATAACGTCTCTAACGAAGCTGGCTTGGAAGATGCAAAAGTCCCTGGAAAGAAGGGTGACATCGGGGACGATGAGATGGGAGAGCTGGCAAAGCGACAGGCCGGCAGTAGTCGCGTCTGGATAACGGCCAACACTTGCCGCCAGCCTATGCCGAACGGAGACGCGAAGGAGGCAAGGAAGAACCACCCGCAGCTGGTCATGTACGTTTCCACGTCACCGCGCAACAAGCAGCCAGGCCCAGATGCGACGCAAGATACCCTCACCAACATTACGGGCGTGCTCTTCGATGGTGGCTACGCCAGCTTCGAGCTCAACACCACCTCGGACGTATACATCGGCATCGGAGCGCCCAAGCTCGAGGAAGATTGGTTTGGGAGCTGGCACTTTGAACTCGCCGCAAGCACAGACGGACCTTACCATAGCTACGACGACGAGACACCTTTCCTCTACATGGTCGACACAGATAGCGAATCGACGTTGTTCATAACATACGACATGGGCGACTCCAACGATACTACGGAGGTCGATAGATGGAGGGAGCAGAACCCCTTTCATATGTACGCCTTCCCGGACGGCGAATGGACTCCAGTCACAGGGCTAGAACGCTCATACTGCGCGCTCAAGGAGCAATTCAACGTGAACGCGACAAGGAACTTCACCATCGACTCAAGCATCACGACCAAGTTCAGGAAGATTAGCGGGGACGACAACATGCCCAAGACTCAGTTCCACGTAAGGAATCTGCAGACCGCGAAGACATACAATGGGTTTGTGGTCATCGAGGGAAGCCAACAGCCTCTCACCATTCCTGGCACGGGCACGACAAGAGGCGGAGGCAGGGTCTTTCAGGCTTTCAACTGGACTACCAAAGCCGGCGAGTGAATCACTCTCCTGTCTCCTGGATCATGCTAACAATGTGCAAAGATGACTCCTGCCAGGTGCTTTTCGATCTCGAATTCTGCGACATGGTCGCCTACGCCGTTCCCTCCAACACGAACTTCAAGCTCAACGACTCCGCTCTCGCCGAAATCTATGAGAACAAAGCCCGCGAATACTACGACAGCTTCAACAAGTCTTTGGCGCAGGTGGCTTGCGATACAGTCTCGGAAGCGCAGTACTCACTAGCTGTAACGTGTGACGACTGCGCGAGGAACTACAAGAATTGGCTGTGCATGGTCCAGATGCCTCGGTGCGAAGACTGGACCGCGTCCGACTCTTCTCTCGTACCGCGCAACATCAAGACGCCCTTTGCCAACGGCTCCCTCCCTGATATGATACCTGGTTTCAATGACAGCGCTGCCTTTAGCCGATCCCGCAACCCAATCATCGACGAGGACATCAGCCCTGGCCCATACAAAGAGCTGAAGCCTTGCGAGGACATGTGCTTTGATATTGTGCGCAGCTGCCCGGCGCAGCTTGGCTTTGCATGCCCGAATGGCGCGCAGAGGGATAGCATGTATGGGAGGAGAGACGAGAACCCGGACAGACTGACGTGCAACTTCCCTGGCGCAGTGGTGAAATTGAATGCAAAGGGTGGCGCAGGTATGCTGGGTGTGCATCTACCCGCCATTGCAACTGTCATTGTATTGGCCACAGCGATGCTATGGGTCTAAGACACACGGTTTCGTCACGCCGTCTCCTTATAGACATGTATTTCTAGTGGCATTCTTGTGGCGTTAAAGCGAAAGTCAATTCTCATTCATCCTTCCTCACACACTAAACTCCAGTCTATTCCCCGCAAAGTCCCTCGCAAAGAACCTCGTCGGGTACTCTACACCCTCCGCCCCGCTATTCTTCGCACCAGGTCTATCTGCTTCCAACGGCGCCGCCTCTCCACCCCGCTCATGATGTTCCCATACTTTCACTCTCAGCTCGTTCAGCGCTTCCACGCTGCCAACCCGAAAACATGGATGCCGTGATGAAGAATGCGCAAAGTCTTCTGGCTTGCCAATCGCGACGTGTACTTGCTGACCCGAGCTGCCGATGTCGAACCATGCGAGCGTTTCGCGTTGTAAGTGTGGTACTGTGCGCGGTGTCAGGCCAAGGGTTGTGGCGTAGAAGTCGTTGGCTAGGTGGAGCGTGTTTGGAGGTACTACGAGGTTGATGTGGTGGATGCCGGTGATCATCATGGTCATGGACTGGATGCGCGTTGGCTTTGTTTGGTAGCAAAGTCGATGATGAGGTGGTATGCGACTTGGCGCTGCAAGATGGGGTGAATGCTAACTGCGGGGTGAAGATGGTGCAGGCAAGCGAGGCGCGGGTGATTTGAGCTAGCGAGCCGTTGAAGACAACATCATGTCACCATCTGGACCGTCGCGTCTCTACCTGCGATCCCTACGCACGTCCATGCCCGATAGACATCAATGTCTTGATAACTTTACCCCTATGCGCGTCCCTGTCGACACCATCATTGGATGATACGACAGCCTTGCGTTCACCCATTTGCGGCTCAACTTCGTTACGCAACCTTGGCGGGTAGCGTAGTGCTTAGAAATGCGACAACTATCGGAAGGCTGTTCGCGATCAATCCTACAAATGCAGGTACGAGTGCGTACATGGCTTATAACCGTTCGTACGCCGATATGTCATCTTCGCGTTGGGCGCCTTATCCTTCTCGTACGTTCGTGATGTTCGTATAGCCTATCTGGCCGAAGGTCCCAAAGCTACAAGTATCTTCCCACCCGCAGAGAGAAATGAATATCCTACCGTGGAGCCAGAGATCTACCTTTCATTCCCTTGAACAAAATCCATCTCAACCGTAACTCACCAGCAACGCGCGAGAAGAAGAACTGCAACTCCGTCCCACCAACATGTCCTCCACCATAGTCCTGATCACAGGCGCCAATCGAGGCATCGGTCTTGGCCTTACCGAGCGCTTTCTGGCAAAGCCCTCGCACACCGTCATTGCCGCAGTGCGCAACCCGGAGCACGCGACCGCGCATGCGCTACAAGACCTGCCCAAGGGTTTTGACAGCCAGCTTATTGTCGTGAAGCTCGACGCTTGCGTCGAGCAGGACGCGCAAGACGCCGTCGCCAAGCTGCAGCAGAAGCACGGAATCCATCACCTCGACATTGTGATTGCGAACGCCGGCATCAGCTACATATACCCCACAGTCGCAGAGGTCAAAATTACGGATATCAAGGCGCACATGGAGCCAAACGTGTATGGCGTCATAGCGCTGTACCAAGCGACGCGGGAGCTCTTGAAGAAGTCGGCGCGTGAGCCGATATTTCTGCCCATGGGCTCCTCGGCGGGATTGTTGGTGTAAGTCAACTTCACGGTCCTCTTGCGCATCTGGTTGACCATGACTCCAGCAACCACCTGCCCATCACCAACGCCGCGTACGGGCCTACCAAGACAGCACTCAATTGGTACACGATTCGCATCAATGCCGAGGATGAGTGGCTCAACTGTTTTATCATCGACCCAGGCCATGTTGCGACGGATATGGGCGACGCCGCGTCGCAGGCTTTGGGCATGGGCGAGAAGGCGCCGGTTTCGGTCGAGGATTCCTGTGAGGGCATGATGCAGGTGTTTGCGAAGGCTTCGAAGAAGGAGTACGGCGGCAAGTTGGTTGTATATACTGGGGAGATTTCGGGGTGGTGACGCTGGTTCGAAGATCTATTTGGGACATTCGTCGCACGAGGGTCGCACAAAGAAGTACGTCTTATACCATCTCTGACTGCTCTTCTCACAACGTCCTCGCCCGACGTACTCGCATCAATGTCAACAGCTGGCTGCCTCCACAAGATGAACCTCGGGTTATACCTGTGCTTAATGGTTAGCGAGCGTGGGTAGCTATCGCCACAGTAGTCAGTCTTTGTCACGAGAGGCTACGCGTAATTATTCTAGAGCTTACTTTAGAAGCTTGATCGTTATGCTACGTACAATACTAAGGTAGTAAGAAATTATAGGTAAGGCCTGTGCGTGCAGCTATTAAAGGTAGTTATAGGCAATAGAATTTGCTTCACACTACGAGAGGATAGTGGGGGGGCAGCTCTGTATTACTTCACTGGGTAGGGGTTGGTAAGAGAAAGAGGGAATAATTCTTATCCCTCTTCTTGCGCGGGGAGCGCAGGTTAAGAGGAGGTCCTAAGGCTTAGACGCAAGCGAGAGAAGCAAACATGTTGTAAAGCCATCGTTCTCTCCACTCAGGCTTCGCCATCTAACATTACAGCGGGTAGGGTCGTCGTGATAGCGCGATAACGTATAAAAAGAAGGTTCACGGGACGTTAAGAGGCATATAAGCCAGCCTCGGATGTAAGGTTGAAGACGGTTATCTAATTGGAACGATAGAAGTACTTGTTAGTAAACCGACGATTCATGGTTGATGTTGCACCAGGACCATCGTGAAACGGCCCACATGGTGGCTGCCGAGGCCCGTCGCAGGTCGCATCGTCGACATGGATGTGACAGCCCTACGCCATTCTGATTAATTACCTTTCGTTAGCACCTTTGAGAAGATCATGGCTGGTTAATGAAGGATGGTTGGATTCTTAGCGGATGATGCCGTCTTGTACATTTCGATCGCCGGCAAGTTCCAGACCATGCAAGGCATTAACAACAGCAAGCCAGCCGAGCCGACATAGTTTGCTAAGAAACAACGACGTAAAGATTCCATAGCAGTACTAGAGTTTGCACACATGTTTGACAGCGGAATCTTTTGCGTAAACCATTCCGAAAGACTGTGTCTAGCTCAAATCATACAATCGGCTTCAAAGGTGTGAACGAAGTACTTTCGCATGTTTTGACGCGATGCGGGATGTCGATGGGGATATTGCGTACGATGTTCACAACTCATGCCATGTACCACTTGTCGAGGTTGCTACAGCACCCTAGCATCCCGTCCGCCGCTAACGCAATGGGAATCCTATTCGATGATTTAAACCGTTACTGGAGTCATGCGCCAACGTCCATCCTTGGTCGCAGAAACAAGGGCTTTACTCCTCCCAACCGCATGCCGAGGCTAACCCGGGCAAAACACGAAACATGTAGAGGTCACCCGAGAGATTCAGTGATCAGACATGGAGAGCATGGGTAAGCTTCCCTGTACACATCAGCCTCTTCCCGCGAATGGGGCGACGACTCCACAATAACGTCGCGTCGGTGGACAACGCCATGGCATTCCTTTCATCACATTTCGCCGCAGAAGCAATGTTTCGAAACCCAACGGCGCAACTCGCTGCGATGGTCCTCCGAGGAAGTCAGCCGTGGACTTTTGTATAAGATGTAGGTTTCCAACAGAAGTTTGATGGGCATCGACTTCGATCCGACTTTCGCTTCCACTCTACCACATTCGCTTTCGGCGCCAGTCTTGTTCTTCGTTGTGCTGTGCACCTGAATCTTTCTCTACAAACGACTTGCTCTATACAGACACAGACGACTCATTGAACACTATCGCAAGATGAAGTTCTACGCCGCTCAAGCTTTCGCTCTTGCCAGCATTGCAACTGCATTCCCGCACCCCCAGCTTCCCTCACTACCATCCTTCTCGCTACCAACTGGGGGATTGGGCTCTGGGACAGGGACCGGTCTGGGTTCTGGTCTGGGCTCTGGCCTCGGTTCTGGTCTAGGTTCTGGCCTGGGCTCAGGCCTCGGTGGAGGCTCAGGACTTGGTGGACTTGGTGGACTTGGTGGAGGATCAGGATTTAGCCTCCCAACCAACATCCCCTCTCTCGGAGGTGGAGGTTTCTCACTTCCGACCAGCCTTCCAAGCCTAGGTGGAGGCAGTACCGGCACAGGTGGTTCAGGATTGAGCAGCTGGCTCAGCGGCCTAGGGGGAGGTTCCAGTGGAGGTCTCGGGGGTCTTGGAGGTCTTGGAGGCCTCGGAGGCGGTGCTGGTGGTGCTACGACAACAGCTGACGCCGCTGTTCCCGGACCTTCCAAAACTGGTGCCGCTGAAGCACCCGCAGCGACGGGCGGAGGCAACACTGGTGGCGCCGGCACCATTGGTACAAACTGCAAGCCCCAATCTGGATCGTCCAACGCCTTCGGAGGAAGCGAAAATGGTATCGTGGACAAGAGCTGCTGCACCGATATGACCATCGTCTTCGCACGTGGTACCGGAGAGATGGGTAACGTCGGATCCGTGTCTGGGCCACCGATGTTCAAGGCTATCCGACAGAAGCTGGGTAACGACCGTGTTACCGTTCAGGGTGTTGACTACGCTGCCTCTGCTGCTGGTAACGCCAACCTCGGTGGCGACGGTGGTCAGAAGATGGCCGATCTGGTCAAGCAGGCCAAGTCTCAATGTCCTGATACCAAGGTCATCGTATCAGGCTACTCTCAAGGTGCCATGGTCGTTCACAATGCTTTCAGCAAGGGAATTTCTGCCACTGATGTTAGCGGCGCTGTCATGTTCGGAGACCCATTGAAGCGCCAGGCTATCAGCGGTCTTTCAACCGACAAGATCAAGCAGTTCTGCGGTACTGCTGATCAAATCTGCGGCGGTGGTGGTGATGGCGGTGCTACTGGAAGCCATCTCAGCTACGGCAGCAGTGCGGATGCGGCGGCTTCCTTCGCTATCCAGGCCGCTGGGCTTGCTTAGGCGGATCGAGGTTGTCTTGTAAACTCGCATTGCTGGTCCGTGTGAGCTACAAGACGAGACATACGCGATTGTTGAGGCTGGTGCGACAGGACGCTGGTGTACATTCAAATGTAGATACTTGACCACTCGTTGTCACTCCATCGATTCTTTGACCTATCCTTCACTACCATACTTCTTGATGAGATCTCTCATGATACTGACCGCGCCGCTCCGATAACTTCCCCCAAACATTGCATAGTGGTTAAGATGATGGTATAGCTCATATAGCTTCACTCTATCTTCATATTCCTCCACGGGCTCCGTCTTTGGACACAGCTGATGGTACTCTTTCAGGAAACTCCCTCCGAAGCCACCAAACATTTTCATGGCGCCTAGTTCAAACTCGTTGTGCGTGTAGCATGCCGACGGGTCGTAGACCACGTCTTCAGGCTCGCCCTTCTTGTTACCAATGACGCCTACGCTTGCATTGCCGCTCCATAAGTCGCCATGCACAACGACAGGTGTAACTCCCTTGCCGTTATTTAGATGGTCATCGCCTATCAAGCGGGCTACTATCATGGCCACAGTCTGCTCAACTAGCTTCTTCACGTCGCCGTCCCTGCGCCCATTCTGCTCCGCGAATCGTAAAATAGATCTGAGACGGTTTTCCGCATAAAAGTCTGCCCAGCTTCCCTTATAGCTATTATCTTGTGGTGTATCGCCGCAACATGTTGTCACTGAAAATCCAAACACAGGCTTGTCACAGCCTTGTGGTATGGGCGCGGGCGTGGTATGTAGCTTTGCGAGCTTAGCTGCCAGCGATAGCGCTTTCGTCGACTTTGAACTCGATCGTCCCGTGAGGTTAAGGAATTCAGTCACGAGGAAGGATGTAGATGGCTGCGATTCGAATCTTCCGTGACCAAGGGGTTGAGGACATAGAGATGGTACGGCGTCGTGGATGGCTTGGAGGGATGCGTACTCGCCTTCAGCGCGCTGTCAGTTGATTAGCCAGCCCGGAGGTGCTAGAGGTTGCGCTTACCTTGGAACATGACCTCGGCCTCTTTCCCGCTCCCAGTCTTCATGAAGAATGTCTGATCTGTGCCATCGTCAAGTTGTGACGTGATCTTCAACGTCGATGCCGAGCTCGAGCCGCCTCCGCCTGCAGAAGAGATATTCGTCTTATCAAGGTTCAGGCCGAGGAGCCTGATGACTGCCGGATCGGGCTTCATGGTGGATTCTGTCGTAAGAGAGCAGAATGAATAGAAGGCGCCTTTGACTTAGACTACGGTCTGATCCTGGTCCGGGCTGGTTATTGAGAGTTTACTTTGGTATACGGTATGATTGAGATAGCTTTGATGTTGTTCGCTGGAGTGTCTGGTGTGTTACCGCAGTACCGTGGTTGTGTGTGGAGGCTCCTGATGATTCAGAGGAATGCTGTTGGTCGAGGAGGACGCGATGAGTGGAAGATTGTCGTAAGAGAGCGCGCGACCTTGAATATAAACATGACATTGTGGTGATGGCGCCTGAGGTATTTTGAGATGGGTCGGTGGTGACGTCAAACTTGCTATCCCCCGTGGTGGAAGCTCGAGACGCGCCGACGCGTCCTCAGCGTTGCGACCGCAACCTACCTCCAAGCGACTGCCTGGAATTCCTTTGAAATCAATGCGGATCCTCTCTCTGTCCTTCGCGTTAGCGCAGGTTCCACACCCAAGCTCCTACAACAACCATCCACCGTGGCCACCTTTATTTCTGCCTGCATGTATTGTGCGAGTAAATAGTGTCACATAGGTCTGCAGATTGATCTACCAGAAATTCCTACGATGATAGCTATTGGGTGCGGTTCTACAGCCCTATCTTCCCTATCTTTGCAGGTGCGCGCACGGATAAGGTATATTTACGTAATTCTATCTACCCCGCACAACTCTTATGTTACCACAGATATCACGCTTCCTAGATTCTGTAGTTCTAGCGGTCAACATTACCGTGAACGTCGACGACTTGGTTCCGTTCTTTACAAGCTTAGCATACCGTCAGGACTCTGCCAGCCCTTTTCTCTCAATTTTTAACTCATCGGAGACTGATCATGGATAGTTCCCAGTGGAAGGATAATTTCGGACATGTTTCACCACACAGCTGCGAGCATTGCAAAGATATCATATTCACTTTTGGGGAACTAACTTCTTTCTCGCTTAAAGAAGTAGAACGAGCAGACAAGGCCGGATGTGAATTCTTCCGTTTGACTTACCAAAAGTACACGGCTACGAACATCACTACAGTACCTAGCGACCCGAAGCTAATCATAAGTTGTGTTGAAAGGGGAGGGGGTCTTGATATCCGCTGGGTAGATGGTGCAACCCCATTGTTCGACTCGGTTGAGGAATCAACGTGTCCACTTTCAATGTTTACTCTTGCGGGCAGCCCTGCTTTTATCGACATTGAGACCCGACCGCTGAACTTGAATCCCGGATCTGAGGAACAAATTCGTCAGATACGACATCGCTTTCGTCGATGTCGCCAAGAACACAAGAAATGTATGGAATTGTGCAAGACACAACGCCAGGAACTTCCTGCTCGCCTGATCGAGGTGGGAGCTTTGGATAGTAAGGACATTCGCGTATTAGAAACTCGGTCGATAGATCAGGTCGCCTACGCCATTCTCAGCTATTGCTGGGGAGGTGACCAGGAGTCCAAAACTATTGATGCGCGACTTGAACGTAGACGCAATGGGTTTCCACTTGACGAACTTCCGCAAACTATCAAAGATGCAGTCTTCTTAACCAGGAAACTCCGGCTAAAATATCTTTGGGTTGACGCAATCTGCATTGTACAGGATAACAAGAAGGACATAGACAAAGAAATTAGAAAGATGGATCAGATCTACCGGGGAGCTTTGATTACCTTTGCGGCAGCAAGAGCAACAGAAGTGTCTGAGGGATTTTTGGGCCATCGGGAGCCAACCCACTGCTACGGGACGGTATGCCAGATACAGTACCGTCAAAGTTCGGGAGATCCCGCGATTGTTCGATCGAGTCTCGTTTCAGCGAAACCTCTGCATATTACATACGAGGACCCAATTGATCTAAGAGCATGGACCTTCCAGGAGCATTACCAATCTCTCCGTACTGTTCGTTTTGGAAGCAAGCAGACGGTGTGGGAGTGTCCGGCAAGTCGTTGGGTCGACGGAGGCATTAACTATACGTATGAAGCTTCAAGCGATCGTCGGTTCAGCGGCAAAATAGTCGATTCACCCTATCCTTTTCGATTGGATGATGCGTCTCACAAACACGATTTGGATTCAGCCCTCGGTGATTGGCAAAGCAAAGTAGAGGAGTATTCAGGGCGCAAACTAAAGAACCCTGAGGACAGACTTCCTGCCTTTGCAGCTATAGCAAAAGCCTTTGGTGCCTTTTTAGGGCTAAAGCCTGACCAGTACCTTGCCGGTCTCTGGTTGTTTGATCTTAGCATGCAGTTGCGATGGCGGCGACCAGATTGTGAATTAGAGAAGGAATGGGCTTCTGCAGGGTCTGGACCATCGTGGTCATGGGCCTCATTGACTGGTCCCGTGATCTTTGATCATCCTCGACTATCACATGGAACGAACACGTTAAGGATTGACGATTGGAAAATGGAACCGAAGTTAGAAGGTTTCGAATATGGCGAAGTATTGCGGGGACGGCTGACAGTCTCTGGAAACTTGTGTATGTCAATTCGCCAAGGACTAGATTTCATTGGGTGGCACCCTTGCGTACTGGAACCTTGTTTGCTTCCCTTAGTCGCACATTGGGACTGTCAAGATGAACAACCATTCGAAGTATAGTGCTTGGAGATCAACGCTAGTGCTTCACGGGAAACAAAAAGTTCGTCAGGCCTAACCAATATGAGGCGACGGATTATGCACAATCCGCGCTCGATTAGGTATCGCGTTAGGGTTCGCTAACCAAGAAAGGAAATCTAGAGGGCATAATCCGTGCGCATAATCCGCGGGCTTTACTAGTATCGCAACGTGCTGCAACTTACCCAAAAGATGCAAGACAACGCTCCAAATCTATTCCATCTTTCAGAATACCTGCAGCTAGCACTGTTGTTGAGATATTTATGCGTGAACTTTGGCTGGAGAGACTTGACGTTCCTCGCTGAAGTCGGAGCTTGTAACCTCCGACTACAGGCCTGTGCGCGAAGTCAGGAAGTTCAAGACTTGAGCCATACTACTGTAGGTACGTTCGTAGATTAGATAACAGCAAGATAGAGGGACTTCTTACGCTTGTAAGAATATGAAGAATGCGATCTAGGTAGCGATTGTAGTCTGCAAGTAGGCACAGAGGAACGAAACTGGTGCGCGGCAAGTCCCGCGAGCCTTTACGTGCGGATCTGGTAGATCCAGAAGTTAAGGTAGTAGCTAATAAGAACGTTAGACTGTACGTTACCTCGCGATAGGTAAAAGATGCGTCTTCTTCTATAGCCTTCCAAGTTAGAGTTATAATAGTAGAGCTATAGCACGTCGACGTTGGAACAATAGTACTGTCACGATGTTCAGGCCGGTCGACACAAAAGAGGTAGGAAAGAAAGAGGTAGAATTGGATCTCAAAGTCATGCTATCTACCGCAAGGTACTGCTACCTGTAAGTCCTCAAAGCCCCTACTCCGCCTCCGCCTGAAGCTCTTGAACAAGGGAATCATACACAAAACGCCAGCGCGGAACCAGGCCCTCGCACTCGCCCGCGATGTATCCATCCCACTCATTAACCTGCTCAAGACTAGAAAGACACTGAACTACGCCACCACTACTGACAGCTTGGAACAAGATAAATGCGCGTTGAGGGCGATCACAGAGGACCTTGTTGCCGTAGGCGCGATGGATGTGGGCCCAGATGCGATCGCCATTCTCTGACTTGCCAACGAGCATGCCTTCCTTGTTGTTGTAGACGATAGGGTAGGTGCGCGCGGGATTAGCGAAGACGAACTTGCCGGGGGTGCGGTCGTAGTCGTTGGGAAGCGTGGTGTTGGGCAGCAAAGGGAGGGAGCGGAGTTCAGCGGGAGTTGGCAGCTCGATAGCGTCCTAGAGACAAGGTCAGCTTGTTGCGTGTTGGTGAAGTAGCGATGTGAAGGTACATACACTGAGGCCAACCTTGCTGATCAGCTCATAGTGTAGGCCTTGGACACCGTCGGTAGATAGGTGTTCGGAGGTCAAGGCGTTGGAGAGGTATGCCATGGTAAGAGAAGTGTGTTGGAATTGTGTTGATGTAGAGAAGTTGTGAAGTTGCAACGAAGGAGCAGCGGAAAGGCGCCAATATATACCCAGGGAAGCACGAGCCACTTGAATGAGAAGAATGGTAAAGTGGAACAATCTGCGGTGAAGGCAGCAGCTACTCCGAGCGTTGGACTGAGCAAGATATCTGCAGTGAAGTCGAAATGACCGCAGCGACGTCGCGCGGCAAGTCCCGCAGAACTTCACATGCGGATCTGGCTAATTAGGGTGTGAAGGCGGCAGCCAATCGCAGCGCCAGGATGCTGGAGATGTCCGCGACGAAGGTGAGTTGATTGTCGCGGTAATGCTGCGTTGACTGTCGAGGTGAAGTCGCGCAGACGCAGGCCTTCACATGCGGATCTGGCCGATCCAGATGTGAAGGCGGCAGCCAATGGGAGCGCCAGGTCGCTGGAGATGTTTGCGGCGAAGGCGAGCTTATTATCGCCTTGACGCTGGGCTGGGTGCTGTCAAGGTGGGCCGATTGTTGAGGTGACGCGGGGTCGATTGTCGCCGTGAAGAGGAGTTGCTTGTCGAGGTGAAGTCGCGCGGCCGCCAGCCTTCACGTGCGGATCTGGCAGATCCAGATGTGAAGGCGGCAGCCAATCGGAGCGCTAGGATGCGGGGCATCCCCGTGGTGAAGGGGACTTGATCGCTGTGAAGGTGGGTTGATTGTCGAGGTGAAGTCGCGCGGCAAGTCCCGCCAGCCTCCACGTGTGGATCTGGCAGATCCAGATGTGAAGGCGGCAGCCAATCGGAGCGCTAAGCTGTTGGAGTTATCCGCAGCTAAGGCGAGTGGATTGTCGCTGTGATGCTGCGTTGACTGTCGAGGTGAAGGCAGCAGTCAATCCGGGCGTCAGACGTGTGAAGATATCCATAGTGAAGGGGGCGGTGATGGAACAACCTACGGTGAAGGCCACACGTGCGATTATCGACGAGGGGATAGTACGTATTTAAAGCTAGACGTCCTTTGTTACCTTGGCTCTTTCTTCCTCCAACTACCAGAGAATTGGTCAGCCACTACACACTTTTCGACCACTCTTTCCAAGTACCATGTCCGCCTCCACGTCCCTCCCCAGCGACGATCAGATCAAGGCGTTCTTCGCGAACGACTCGTCTCTCGATCGATTTGTCAAGTTCTGTAAGCATTACCTCACGCGCTATATCTACAACAGCTAACAAGGCATGAAGTGGAGACCTACCTCTTTAGTGTCCGCATCACTCCCCGCGCCTGCGCCATCATCTTCGAGGCCGCCAACTGCATCAACCCGTCTACGTTTCCGAGCCCAGCCTCCGAGTTCTTCGCCTGCGAGACAATCGAGTCCTACCTTACCGACCCTGTCCGCACTAACGCCAATCTCATCCACACTTCTCAACCTGACCTGCCGACATTCAGGTGGCTTCTTACCCAGTACAACCCAGCCCAAAGCAGCGGGATCAACTTCGAGGCGCTTACGGCTGTGTTGGCAACCGCAAGCCGCACAAGCTACCCTCCTGGTGACGGTGCGGTATGCGACGGCTGTCTTCGGAGTAGCGCGCGACTTATAGATGAGTGTCGGAATATCGGCGCTGAGAATCTGCTCGAGGGCCTAGGTCTTGGTGCTCCAACCTGTACAAACTGCTTCGCTGCTGGTGTGGCATGCGAGTGGCAAAAGGCAGATGAGGAGGCTGCTTCTGAGGGATGCTAGGAGTTGGAGGGAAAGAGAGCTACGAAGAAGACACTTGTTGAGTTGGGGTGGACAAGAGATGGTACTTAGTTGATTACAATTCTATCCACTTGCCACTCTTTCCATTTGCATCGTACTTCACGGTAATAGGTCCTCATCGCAACGAGCAGGTTCGACGTAGTCTTTCGTTCTGCAGCATCCGAGCTCTGGTAGAGTCAGCTGGCGCTTGTCCTTGGCTGCCACTGCCAAATCGACCTTCTCGACGTCTTCCAACTCGTCGCTCTTATTGCTCTCCTCGTCCGAGTCGGGAATCGCACAGATGCGCAAGGCTTGACTCGCCTCTATGCCAGATCGCTCTGCGCATGGAATCGGGCCGCCGCTAAGACCACCAGGACCTAACCAGGCATCGAACTCGCGGCCGAGCTGCACTGCAGGCGCATTGACACGCTGCACAAGTTGTAGCCATACTGTCCACTCCGCGACTCGCAGCGTCTGCTCCACCTAACAGGATGTTACTGTATCCGCCGGCATAAGCAAGAGACAGCCCCAACCCAGCACCTGAGCGGCTTCGTACCATCGACGAGATCGCTTCAGCCGGTTGTTGTACGCCACCCACGTACCAGAAGGTTGTTCTTGTTCCTAGAGGATCCGCTTGGCTTGGGCACGCACATGGCCCTCTCTCTCCCGCCGGCTTTTACCCCGGCCCTTTCGAAGATCCGCTTTCTCCAGCATGTCCACCGTCTGCTGGTATCTCTGACCAATGCTAGCCAAACCCCATCGAACAACAATGGCCGCGGTGGACTTTACGTTTTCGGCCTGCGTTACTGCGTCCCAGATGAGGTTGAAGGGAGACCTTGTCTGACCTGCTGTGTTTGATGGCAAGGCAATACAAACCGGTTGACCTGATTGTCGCCAGTTCTGCATAAACTGCGTCGCATCGCGTCTTGCCGTAGGGCTGCCAAGCTGCCGGGCATTGCGAAGCATTGTCGTGGCGGTGACGTAGGGGAGCCGCGCAGTATAAAAGAAGTCGAGCTGGCCTATCCTCTGCCCCAGGATCCAGGCGATATCAGGCACGTCACTGTCGCTTATTGCACGATGCGCTAGCTGCTCGGCAGCAGCAGCATTTGGTTTCGGAGCAACAAGCCCGCGTTCTTCTCTCCGCTTGGCCGCAACGGCTGCCTGTTTCTTCTCGCGTGCTACCTCTGCTTTGCGATTGTTGTTGGAGACGCGCGTGGTGTAAAGAGGGGGTGTAGCGTCATCTTCCCCATCGTCATGAGCACCCTTCTCCTCGGCCCTATGGTCATGAGCAACTTCTTCTTCGTCTTCCGTCTCGTCTGCATCCTGCCCAGCACTATAGCTTCTCCTCCGTCTGCCTCGCCTCTGGTGATGGCCTGCAACAGGGTCCTCCTTGCTCTCGCTGGCAGAGGCGAGGCATGTGCGCTTTGGAGAGGGTTCGGGGGCTCCTGCCCAAGCTGCCGTACGTTTCTGCGCCGACGGAGGGGAATGTAGGCTTACTCCAGAACTCTCCAAGACTCTTGCTGCGCTAAAAAGTCGGTGCCAGGTATTATCGAGCAGAATGTCTTCTGGAAGGCTGGTACGCAGTAGTCTAAGTGCCCCTAGAAGAGAATGCGCGATAAAAAGAGGGGGACAGTCCACTGTGTCCACGCTAAACCAGCCAGCATGGTATGCAAGCGAGTTAGGTATGGGGGAAAGCAGGGAAGTTGTCGCAGCAGCTCGCAACAGGTCACGATAGGCTTGCGTAGGAGGAGTATACGGAATGCGCGATCTATTCGCTGTAGACTGACTACTCGCTGCGTTGCCAGGCGCCAGGGTAGGCTGATGAGAGATGACCATCGTGACAAAGTATACTAGTGAAGAGAGCTTTGTGGCTGGCCCGGATGGGGGAGGCAGCGAGACGAAGTCGCGTGGCTAGGAAATTACGCCGGGCTACTCAGGGCCTATTACGCCTATTGTCTTCCCGCCTTCCCCCAACCTTAGCTTACGACTACAATGGAGTTTGTATGGACCGCACACACAGAGCTAGCTACCGCTTCTACGCGCCGTGCTCTACAAGCAGCCGCATCTACTGCCACTATTGAAGAGAAGATTGTCTATTTACCAGCGTACCATGTACTCGTCTGCAAAGAGC